CTTCATAATTTCGTTTGATGTAAAGTTAAATTAAAAAAGTCAAGCGGTTTTAAAAACCATTTAAAGGGTGAACGAATCGGAGTTGAATTAGCAATAATTTGATTACTCATAAATTCACACTTAATTTTAATAGAAAAAAAAGTTAATACGCTTTCCATACTCTGATCCCTATTAAAGTGGATTACTCCATGCTAACATTTTAGATATATTATTGATAAGCTAGAATTTTTTCCATATTGCAGAATAAATGTTTTTTTCTGATATCTATTTAAAGTATAAAAAAACAGTTAATAGGCATAAAACATTAATACACATTTTTTGAATTCAATGAGCCTTGAAAGTTAAATTTTAACCCATCTCAAAAATATTCCAACCAGCACAAATAACACAAATAGATAAAGGCTTTTAGGCAAGGAAAACCCTCTCCTCTTCGAAAAAACTTCACTGAAGCACTTTTCTATAAAACAAAAGCCAAGGGATATCAGATGTGCTAAACATTTTGTTACAATGCTGTTCACATTAAAGTGAAGCTTTTTAGTCCTTGGTTAAGAAATCTCACCAAAGGAATCTTCATGGCAATCATGGATGTACCCAGAAGGGGTTGTAGGGATTTCCAAGATTACGAAAATATAATTTACTTAACAATAATATTATTAAATATTGAAATATTAAATAATATAAACCTTTAAAGTTTGCATCCCCCTAGGAGCACGCCTTTGATGACCACCACGAACTCACTCGCTGTGGGACACGTGTTCATCTAAATCTTTCAGTTAAAACTCAAGCATTTCTCACTAATGATGAGGGCGCCCCATCATCATCCACACCACAGTTCTGGGTCCCGACATCCGCTCTCCGCTCTCCATCAGCTTTTCTGGCCACTGTCTCCACACTTGTCCTTAGCCTGGTTAAACCTGTTAACGTTAACTTTTGTACTATCCCCCCGTTGGGTCTCGGCCTTCATCTCCACACCTCCAATCCTGCAGTCCTCCATCTGGGGACAAATTGATGGAGCCTCCTTTGGGGCTCCCTCGGCTCAGTCGTGCGCACTTGACCACACATTGGCGCATTGTCACGCGCCGGGCTCTCCAGTCCTCCCCCTTCGCACTCTCTCCAAGAGCCCCCTCCCCATCAAGGCCCCTGTCACATGTGAGTGACCCACCAGCATATTCATCAATAGAGTAGCAAATGCTTCTATCCGTTCCCCCGTTCGCTCCTTTTGGGTTAACAAAAAATCTGTTAAAATAAATCACAACAATTTGTACATTTTCGCCTCGTTGGAGATTCCCTCACATAAGGCGGGTGTTTTTCTCCAGGGGGGTTCCGGAGAGTTAGTTTCCCACAGTGGCGAAGATGATGGCAGAGGCGACACATGGCAGCCAGCAGGAATCCTTGAGTTCGTAGAGGACAATGTCTTCGCTTGGCTTGATTTTTTGGGCGATTAAGCTGTCATTTGGCTGCGGGTTGATTTTGCCCACTAACCCAGGAGCGTAGTCAACGGGGGGTGGATAATGGTCGATTATAACGTGTCGTTACTTAAAAAAATACTTTCTAAACAATTTAAGATACTGATCATGCCGAAAATGGTTTATATAGCATATAAAATATATAGTAGATTCTTTTTTTACGAATACCTCTCGAAGACCTGCCTCTGCCTTCATATACGTGACCTCAGAAACCTGTCCTTTGGTTTAGGCTGCGTGGGCGTTGTCCTGCTCAACTTATGACAGCTTTGATTGCAGTCAATTTATTAGCAGCTTGCCGCCAAAAGAAATCTGTTTGCCAAAGGTGAGCCGAGTGCCTGGGCGGGGGTAAGGTGCGATTATGTGTGTTGTACAAATGTCAGTCATAATTGCTTAATCCCGCTTTTTAATTAGCCGCCACCTGTGGCCGCCGCAACCGAAAATAAACAAAGCAAAACAAACCAAAACCAAACGAAGCCAAGCGAGCCAAAAAAAGAAAGAATTTCTCAAGCAAAAAAGCTGTGAATGTTTGCCGGGATATGCTTAAAACCCTATTACCATGGTAATCCTTTTGACAAATGAATTTTAGCATGGCCACACATACTCAAATGCACGGAGAAAAAATAGAAATGATTATATGATGATTTTTGTTATTTTTTTTACCTTAAATTATATTTTGAAATGGTATTCGAATAAAGGTAAAATTTATTTTAGAATTTTCATCAACTTAACAAGTTTTTCTAAGAAAAATCAGTCATAATCGACGCTCTTTCCCTTTAAACCATTTTCAACATTTTTCTAAAGTGCACACACACGCGAATTTACGCACACTCGCACTCTGGTACCTAGACAGGTAGCTGTCACATGAATATAAGGAGACAGACACCGAAAGAGAAGGAGGCGCGAAAATGTATGCTATAAAATCCGTATGCTCACTGTCACCTCTGCGGGAGTGTGTCCCATTTTCATATGTCTTGCATCATAGACAGGACATGAAAACCAAATGAAACCATTTGGGAGTTGGCGTCCAACAGTGATTCGGTTTTTGGATAATTTGCGGTTTTCCCTTGGACATCCGTCGCTTGCCAGTCTGGATTTTGTGAAACATTTTGGAACTGATTTGGCTCTCGTGTGAATTTCGCTCTGGATAAGAACTTTAATACATTTATTTTCGGTAAAATGCAGAGACAGTTAGCGCTAGTAGTGGATCTTATTTGGTAAAGAATGTTTGCAAGTGACTGGAACAAATATAAATTAAGATATATATTTTATTAATTTCTGTTCACAAAACTTAAAAAAAATTTAAATAAGCTTCCTTCAGTTAAGGGCACGCACTTTCACTCGCTTGACTTTCTCTCGCTTTCCAGGAAAATGTCGCCACCCCTTCCACTCACACTTTCAATTACAGAAAAAAAAATATGAAAATATTCATATACGAGTTTCGTTTTGTAAAACATTTTGATGCAGTAAGCAACTTGAGAGCAATAGAAAATGAAGCGCCGCATGACATCCACTATGGAGCTTTTTCAACATCCGAAATGGCTCCTTTGATGCGTGAGCAAAGCGATCTGCCGAAGGAGCTGCCCCCCAGGAGCCCGGAGGAGAGTCCTCGATATATATTTTTGTTTAGTTGCGTGGCACGCACAATCCCACAGCGGCCATAGAAGATGGCCCTGAACCAGGAAGGGATCCTTTTTCTCCTCTGCACGGTGGAGTTAAAGGATAAAAATCGTTTCATGTATGTTTAATTCTCTTATATATCTCTAATATTATTTTCAACCATTAGAAGGAAAAACAAACTGTTTTATGGCGAATAAATTAAACAAATACATCCTTATATATCACTTATGAATACCGGAAAATCGGTTCGATTCAACGGTTTGATTTTTTGACTAGGTTTCCGATTTCTTTCCACAGTGCTCGAGGCCTCAAGGAGCTCCTATGCCGGCTGCTGCACGGCGGGTGGCCAATTTCTGGGTAGCAACTTGCCATACATCAAAAATCTTTCACTCACTTTCGGCTGCCGCTGATGCGCGGGCAATAAAATATTCATTTGGCTCCTTTTCTGGTGAGGGCGATGCAACTTTCAAAGGAGTTTGAGCAGAGGGCGGTACAGGGCCACGCCTACCCATTCATGTCCTGGGGATCGGGGATTGACACTCCAGCCAGGAGCCAGAAGCACCCCTCATAAAAAATGTAATTTGCAAACAGAAGAAGAACAAAAAAATATATGCATTGATGTGTAGGTGGCGAGGGGGTTTTGAGGGCTGGAAAATAAGAAAAACATTTGAAATTTTCAAATTGAATTTGCCGCACGCTTGAAGTTTTGGGCTCCCCAGTTCCCAAACCCGCGTCGAGATGTATGCAAAAGGCGTTGCCAAGATTACCAAGTGAAAGACCAGCCGGCACACATAAAAGCCAGCGAAGGGGCTGGCTAAAAGGGGCTTTGAAACATGGCCAAAAGTGTAAGTGACATGAAAGCGGGCACACAAAGCGCACACAAAACCTTTAATAACTTTACGCTTTTTGTTTTCAAGTGCATTCCGCTGCCACGCCCCCAAAAAGTTCCCCACAAAAAGCGGAAAAACAAAGGCCTTGCAACTTTCACTTTGAAGTTCGTTTCGTCGTGCCAAAAACAAACTAAAGCTTGTCCAAGGACATTCATTTTTTGTGTACATATATATATATTTTTTGGAAATTTTTGGAAGCAACAACAATTCTCAGACCATTCAATACGTAATTTATGACCTGTTTATTGTCAATAAATGCAGCCTCCAAGCAACCATTTTGTGTGCGCGCCTAAATAAAGACAAATGGAATGCTCATTTTCCGTGGGTGGCTCCCAGCAAATATCTAAAATAAATACATATATCTCAAGGTGGATGGGTAATAAGTGGCTGGAAATTGTCTCCAAACAGTTTCGACTGCTTTTCGAGGCTTATAAATATAATTTATGGCCCGTCCACTGACACATTAGTCAGGCAAAATTTTGAGGCTAAAGCTTTAAGCTGTCAAAGGCAAAACCGAAAAGTTGCAAGGATTTCTAAAATGACAACACTATTGCTTTTGTTTTTGTCTTAGTTATTTGATTTGAAAGCTAAGGTTAAGTTACGTCCTTAACTTTGCAATTGTGAAATTAAAAGTGAAAGTGACTGACTCCAACCTATTTTTGGCAATTTTAGTTTTAAGGAATCATTACATTAACATGTATTTTAAAAATAAGTAATATTGCATATTCTATATAAGTACCTAAGGTATGTAAAAACCTTTCTGATTTCTCTCAAAGATGTATCTTGCTGAAAAATTTAAAAAATATAATAGTCTTGCTAAATGTAAGGAGTTGAATGCGACTGCGTAGGTAACTATAAAAAGCAGTATAAGGATATATAATGAAAGCTTTTTCAGAAAGCTAAAAATTCAAGGCTCAAACCAAAAAGGACTTTCAATAATGGAAAGCTTCTTTTATCACTGAAACAAATTTTCAGTTTTTAAAACAAGAAACCATAAACAGTTAGCCAAATAAAAAAACATCAAAAGTTTCACTTGGGATTTCCTGAGGATTATTCATCCCCTTTGTTTATTTTTGATTTAAGTAAGTACATTTTACAAAAGTTTTAATATATTGATTTAACTACGCTGACCATTTCTCTTACTGATCTTATCAGTTGAAGGCAAAAAATTCTTGAGTGAGTTTTGGGTATCATTCTCATTTTACATTTTTTTTTTAAATTTAAGTACATACATAAATATGTGGCAATCATCAAAGTTCATTTCATTCGTGGACTTATCGTCCTCGTTTTACGTCTGCTAACATCGGTTTCTTTTTGTTACATAAAAAACTAAGTACAATAGACAATAGAAAAATACACTTGACTATGTAAATACATATACATATTAAAAACGAAAATAGAGCTACCAACGAAGGCGCAACTGGCTTGAATAATTTCTCTTAGGCTAATGAACAATCAGTTGGTATTTGCTAATTTCTTCTGGTTATTGTTTTCTTTGCTTTGTTTGTTTGCTTTGTTTCATAGTTACTTGTCCTAGCCATGAGGTAGAGCATTTTCCGACTGCCAGTTGTCAGTGCCAAATGGCTTAAAGCTACCTTTCATTGAATTTCTTTTCGTACATCTATATTCTTATGGGTTCTTTTGTTGTTGGGGCACACACTCTTCCATTTGAGTTTCGTAGAGTTTCAAGTTGACATTCGTGGATCTTAAACTAGGTTGGCGTCCTTGGCCATACTGTAGAATGCCGATTTGGGATTGTCCAGCAGCTCCGTGGGAGAGGCAAACTCAGTGATTTGACCCTTGTCCAACACGATTACCTTGTCCGAATCCAAAATAGTGTTCAAGCGATGGGCAATTGTCAGGACAGTGCACTCCTTGAACTCCGTGCGGATAGTTTTCTATAAGAATAATTGAATTTTAGTATATTTTTTATAATTTTTGCCTATATTTTTGACACCCACCTGAATCAAATCATCTGTTTCGAGATCCACAGCTGCGGTGGCTTCATCAAGTACCAGGACCTTGGTCTTACGTAGCAGAGCACGTGCCAAGCAAACCAACTGGCGTTGACCGACCGACAGATTCTCACCACCCTCGGCAATCTCGTGGTTCAGACCAGCTGCCAAACTCTTTACAAAGGACTTCAGATGAGACAGCTCCAGAGCCTTCCAGATCTCGTCATCGGTTTTAATTTCGAAAGGATCTAGATTGATGCGCAGCGAACCGGAGAAGAGCACAGGATCCTGTGGGATGATTGTCAGACGGGAACGCAACATGTGCAGACCCATAGTGGCAATGTCCACGCCATCAATTGAGATGCGACCACCGGCGGCTTCAATGATTCTGAAAGGAAATGAATAATTTTTTAGGATAATCTAAACTTCAAAATGGAAATGGTTTCCTACCGGAACAAGGCCAACGTAAGACTGGATTTACCGGCTCCTGTGCGACCAACGATGCCGACCTTTTCGCCTCCCTTGATGTCGAAGCTAACTCCTCGTAGCACCAGATCCAGACCCTCGCGATAGCGCACCTGGAAGTTCTGGAACTCGACGCGTCCCTCCTGTGGCCAGTTCTTGGGCTTGCTCTTGTCCTGCTCCAATTCCCAAGCAGCTTCTTGCTTCGTCTCACCATACTCCTTAATACGCTCCACGGACACTATGTTTGTCTCGATATCGGAAGACATGCGCACCAGCCAGTTGAGGGTTTGGGTCACCTGCAGGGCATAGCTCACTGACAGACCCACCAGGCCGGGATTGGTTTGACCTCCCAAGACGGCGAAGAGCGAAGCGAACAGAATGATCAGATTTCCCACCATCTCCAGACGAATGGCCAGCCAACGGTTGGCAATCACGGAGGGATACTTGCAGACCTGGTTCTTGTCCACCTTGGCATCAGATTCCTCGATAAAACTGAAGTAATAAAATGGTTTATTAATAACAGAATAAAAATTATATGAATACATTTCACAATAGAGAAATCTTACCGATCTCCCACATTGTAGGCACGGATAGTTGAAGCTCCAGTGACAGTTTCGCTGAAGTGAGAATAGATGGGGGATCGGGAGACGGATTCCAGACGCATCAACTGGCGCGAAGTGGCTACATAGAAGCGCTGGGCGAAGTAGTACAGCAAGGCAATGGGCACGATCACGGCCAAGAAAATCGGCGTTGACAAACTAATAACCACAATGGTAGCCAGAACCTAGCCAATAGCAAAATAGCAATGTAAATTAACGCTGTTCAGGGTAACAAGATCGAATAAGAGTGCGACGATATGCAGGGGGTTAATAGGAAAAAATGATGAAAGGAAATTTGAAATGAAATTTGCCTTCTTTTTGGATCGAACGCTTTTAATTTGATGATGTTGGAAATAAGGAATAGGGGAGGGTCACTCATGAGGCGCCGCCAATGAGAAGATTAATCTGGACTAGTTAGTTGTTTGGTTAATGCCACTGGGGGGATTACTGCCGATGTGTATACACTTTTTGTAGCAATTTGAAGACGGTTCCTAGTGCCTAGTGCTGTGAAATTACCTCGTAAGCACACCAAATGCAATCATTAATGACCTGTGGCATCTTCTGGTCAACCGATTCAACATCTTTCGAGAATCGAGACAGGATGCGACCCACCGGCGTGGTATCGAACATGGTCATTGGTGCTTTCAGCACACTTTCGAGGAGCATCGAGTGCAGGACTTTCGCGGCATGCAAACTGCCCAGAGCAGGAGCCAGGTCCGAAAAGAATGACGTGAAACCTGCGATTAGGCAATTCAGTATGGATGGAGAATTAAATTTCACATCTAGTTATTCGAATTGACTGAAATCGATGCTCGAAAAAGGCTATTCGAGTAGGATAATCGTAAAGATGTTGCCTAGCCAATTCCCTAAATGGATACGGGGTTGGCTTACTCTTCAAAACAAATTATTTACTGAATATATTTTATTTATTAAGGTTATAGGATCGTAGCATTAAGCTTTATAATCAACATTCTAATTTACAGACTTGTTTATTTGTACGAAAACTTCTTAAAATTTCAGTAAATTCTTTTGTTTTATCGAGCTTTTAGGCTATCTATATGCGATTCCCAAGAGAGGGCAGACAACCACAGGAAAAATAATCTTAACCTAAGAGATTAGAAGTGAACGAGAATTACAACATGCGCCCGCCCCGTTGATCCAACTATATATATTTACAAACTACATCTGAGAATGTGGAATGCCGGAGAAAGCCTCAAATTGCTACGAGCCGAGAGTTTTATACAATGAAAATCATAACATTTGTTAGTTAAAGATTAGTTTTCAATATATTCTTGTTGATTGTTAGTTAGTTACAGCGAACGTACCCGAAACACTTGCGAGTTAAATACGCGTATTAGTTCTGGCAATACCACATCCAACTTGTATATATCGTTTGCCAGACGATCGAGTATACGTGCCCGGGGCTTTATGTCGAAAAAGGCTTGCGGGGCATGCATAATGTGGCCAAAAAAGCTGGACGAATATTTTCCGAGTGCCGATGAGGGCACCCAGGTAAACGATAACCACACTGGCTATATAGCTAAAGACTTGGGATATCGAAGTGAAATCTTATAAGTGCTGGACGGGACTTTACAAACTTTGTAAATATAATTTATGGCTTACTAAAGACAGGTTTAAGGACAAGGGTTAGGAGACAAACTACTTATAATATTAGGTTAAGGATTCTTTTTAGGACAATACAAATCAATCATTGGACATTTTTTTAGATTATCTGAAAATCAGTGAAACTTTGAAATAAACTGAAGAATGTAATGGTAGCCTAAAAACTAAAATTAAATGTCGATTTTTCGATCATGCTAACTGATTCTATCTTTTTTTTTGAAAACTACAAATTATCAAAAGTATAAAAAACTGTCCTTTTAAGTTTACATGAAGAGATTACCTGAAAGGCCGTGCTCATGACCATTCTTATATTAAGCGGCATTACCAAGTCCAAACAGTTGATATCGTTTGAACAGCGATCCAATATCCGACCCTTGGGCGTGATATCGAAAAACTCAGAGGGACAGTGCATGATGTTGTTAAAAAGTCGATGGAATACTCTAGATGAGGCGTGTAAGGTAGCTGTGAAAAGTGAAATGGCGGCGCCGTAATTGCAAAGCCCTAACTTGATTCAATGGGCATTAGAGAAAGAGAGGGAAACAGTTCAAATGGGATAAAGAGATATTATTAATGTTAGAGAGATATGAGTGAAAACTTCGGGAAAAATCTTTCTACAACGAAAGTTATGCAAGTACAAACCGTAACTCTTGTATAGCTACAAATCAAAAGTTATCATTTATAACTTATTAATCAATAATAACAAAATAAAGGAAAGAGAAAAAATACTGAAAAACAAATAAGTTGGGGTAATGAAATATGCAAATACCATAAAGATAAAGGTCATAAAGGAATCCATGGTGGCGGGCAACTCTTCGTCGACAACATCCATATCGCCGCTAAAACTGTTCAAGAGTCGCCCGATGGGAGTGATATCGAAGAAGCGGCACACGGAGCCTCGGATTATGACGGCCAGCAGCTCATTGTGGATGGTCTTTGCCGCCTGGAAGCCGCCCAGGTAGACGATGACCACCGCAAAGTAGGCTAGCACACCTGGGACAATCGGAAAGGTGAAAGAGGCGGAACAGGTGTACCCACAGGCACTTGATAAATTTCATGGGAAATTCAATTCAATTGGATGGCTGACTGAATGAGGCGATCTCCTACATTATCATCTATCGTAATTCGATCAACCGAAGCGTAATGACAGCTCCCACTTATAAAGAAACCTTAAAGTTAAGGCTCTGAGACTAGTAAATCTGCAGAGTGTGTTTTCACCATAGCCCCAGATTAGGATTGGGCTTAAACTAAAATGGTTTCAGTTCCCCTTTCGGGTCTTAGCGCACACAACTCACACATCCAGTAAATATTGTTTCTAATTTATGGACAGGCAAATAATGAATCAGATATCAAGTAAAGGCGCTTTGATCCAAAATAAAAGGCAAATGAAATTCAGCATAAACTTCTACGGTAAGTTATTAGATGATAGGTAAAGGGATGATTATGGTTTGGGATTTGTAATCAATGTTGGGCAGAGTGGGAAGAGGTTAAAAAGGATGGAGGTTAAAAGATTAAAGATTTCGTAAATTATAAGAGTGTACAGTTTTGGGTAGTAGTATTCGTTAGTAGAATGATGCTTTTGTTAGGATTTTCAGGCATTAGGTATCTAAGCTTTTTCCCGATTTCATCGGGCTGTGATGGAGGTTGGAAGGTTAAGAATCAATCTTTACCCCGAAGCAGGTGTTTAACAACTGTACGGTTATCGCTGGCAGCACGCTATCAACCGTATCGATATCCTTGGAGTAGCGACTTAGGATGCGACCCAGTGGTGTCGTATCGAACAATTCCATCGGCCATCTGAGGCCAGTTCTCAGCAGTTGGTTGAATACATTCATTGAGCTATGAAGTCCTCCGATGGCTAAAGCCAGCCCCGACAAATACTTGGATAGCACTGCATGTAACGTAAATCGGTTTTAATCGGAGGCTAAAAGAAAACTATCTTTCTAAGGGAAAAACTTAAGATTCAACTAATCATGCTTTTGTTGGTGTAAGCCCCCAGAGAGTTAGTGAGTAATTCTATACACTTTAAATATATATACACAACATAGAACGTTGGGGTTAGTGCCAAATAGGATTATTTTGTATTTTACTTTAGCATTTGTGCGGCAGGGGAAGACTTTTATTGGGATAGTGCCAATTAAAAGAAGTTAGTAAGTATAATCATAAAGTCTGAAGAGAAGAAATTTAATTATACTGCAATAAACTATACCATTCCCTATAAGAGTTCTTGTCTTAGCCTTTAACCTAATCTAAAACTATTGATTTGAGATTCAAATTCTTTGGGCAACATTGATGTGAAAACTTATGTGTAATCTGAACAGAGCGTTTCATACTAATAGGTCAGCTAAGATATAAAAATTATTTAACTATTTCGGAAATCTATTTAAAAAGATAAATTACTAAATTCGCTGCCTTACAGTTTTGAAACGCTCTTTCTATATAGAATAGACATTTACCGCAAACGCTTGACTTATGACCACGCGCCAAAGCATCGGTAGGACATTGTCGATCGTATCGACGTCCTTCGAGAACCGATTAACAATACGGCCGAGGGGAGTGGTATCGAACAGCTCCATGGGCCAGCGGAATACAAATGTCAGGAGCCTCTCGTGTAAGGCCTTGGAGCAATAAATGCACCCAAGGGCCAAAGTGAGAGAGCAAAAGAAGTATGAGGCAACTGGAAGTTAAATAGTTTATTTTAATCTTTTCTTAACCAAAACTTAATTGAATTACGTGGCGAAAGCAGGGACAAAACACTTTATTAAGCTATGAGACAACCTACAGAAAATAACTGACCTACTCAGCTGACAGGATATGGCTGGGAATTTTAAGATTGAAATGTATTGTTTGGTGTATTACCGCAAAAAATTGCAGGACGACGACTCGTAAGTTGAGTGGGAGAGTATTGTCAATTGTGTCTACGTCCTTGGAAAAACGATTGACAACCCGACCTAGAGGTGTTATGTCGAACATTTCCATGGGCCAACGTAGAGTGTCATGGAGCAGGACGTTGTGCATGAATCGGGCACTATAAACGCAGCCCAGCGAGAGGATCAGGGTGGATAGATACCCTGAAACAACTTCAGAGAGAGCGAAGACACGGGTACAACAATTAGTGACCAGATACCGCCACAAAAACCTCTTGCCCGCCGACGAAAGATCTTCAGCCGTGCTCTTTTTTTTACTTAAAATTCGTTTAAATTGTTTTCCAAAATGAAAAAAAGATCATTGGATATGAATATAAAGAGCACAGAAGAACATAATTATGGGTAATATTTTAAATATTAGTATGTGGTTATATATGATGAGCCAGACCATCAGAACCATGATACATAGAATGATTAGATTTCCCTGGTTGACTACTTAATGCCGTGCATGGATTAATATTTTTTGGCATTCGTTAATGCATATGGTCCCAATCCATTAAATTACCATAAATGCCTGCATGATGACGATACGAATGTTGAGTGGCAGGATATTATCAATTGTATCGATATCTTTTGAGAATCGATTGACAATTCGTCCCAGCGGTGTCGTGTCGAAAAGCTCCATCGGCCAGCGAAGGTTGTAGTACAGTAGAGTTTGATGTAATATCTGCGAGCACTTAAGACAACCCAATGAGACGGCGAGGGATTGGAAGAAATGCGTCACGACTAGAATTTTCCAAGTTTTGTTTCGATTTTACCGATTATTGGTCGATAATTTTGGTGTTTGTACATTAGAAAGGGTCGGTAGGTATTCACAAAGTGTATTAATTGGCTATGCAATACATTTACGCACACAAACATACACGCACAAAAGGAGAACTGTTAGTTAAGTGGGTTAAGTGCAATGCTCTGATATACGATAACATCGATCACTTTTTATCGATTATCAATATATGATTATCGCCTCTCAAAACATTTTCGTGTAGTATAATCTACATGTAGAGGACTGATATTAATAGCGTTTATTAATATAGAAAGCCTTTTGTGTCCGGGTTGGTAAGCGTGCAGTATTTTAAAGATTTATAGGTTTGAGGTGTTAGTGCTTTTAGTTTGTGTGCTTTGCTTGCGCTTGTGATAAGCTTAGTTAGTATTAGAAGACAGGGGCTAAGGATAGTTGAAACCGCCTACTGGTAGCTGAGCAGCATGTGTTCTCTTGATGGCAAATTTAGCAGCAATCAAATAAGCAAAACATAAAAAAGACCCCAAACCAAACATAAAATAGTTTATAGTTTATGTTCTAGAAGATGGTTTCAAACGAATAAAAGATTTTAAAATGCGGAAAAAGTTTGAAAATTTGAATATTATTTCAAGTAGTTATGGTAATGACTTTAGTTTCTAATACAAATAATGCCTTTTATCCTTTAGAAAATGTATTTTTGAAACCATCTTAATTCTTATTTAAATAACAGAAAAAACATAAAAACGTAACAAGAAAGCTAAAAAAACGTGCAATAAAATTATAAAACAATTAAAGCAAACTAAAACTAAGAAAACAAAATGGACAAAACGAACATGAAACAACGATAACTTCAAACGAAGATTTTAATAAATAAATCGAATCACAATGGACTTACCTTGACCGAATCCGAAGGCACCATAAACACCCAGATACATGTCCCTGAGGCCAGTGTCATTTCCGACGTTCTGATCATTTGCCCACTGTGTAAGCCACAGATTCGAGCCAATTTGGAAGGCTTGGAAAACAAAGTTAAGTACCAATGTAGCCACCGACAGGAAGATGCCAACGCTCTTGATGTAATGCTTGTATACGGCGAACTCCACACCACCAGTCTGTGATTTCTCAGTTTCAATCAGCTTGCCTTGGACCTCCTGCTTCTTTTTCAGGGAAGCAGCGGAGGCCACAGAATCATGGGAGTTTTGACGCTTGGCCCGTCGACGGAGACTTCCTCCTCCGCCCATTAAACTATCAGCGGAGGTAACGGAGCTAAGGATGAAATAGTAAAGGAATTAGTCGAGTGTTTTAGAATCCCCAGATAAAAAAAGATAAAATATGAATCCATAATACTCACATAGAATCCGACAAGCTTTCCGTGCGCGCCAACTTAATGGCCTTCTCGACACTGCCTAGCAACTCAGGGACATCTCCGGTGCTGGAGATCTGACGCTTGATCTGGTTAAGCTCCTCCTCCTCTTCATTGCCATCCTGCAGATGCTGGATGATGAAGTCGGCGAAGGCGCCCTTGTTCTTAACCAGTTGATCGAATGTGCCGCTTTCGCTGATTTCACCCATTTTCATTACGTATATGCTGTCTACCTGGGGCAGGAAAGTAACGCCGTGGGTGACCAGCACACGAGATTTACGGGCCAGCATGCCCTTGGGTCCGATCACCTCCTCAAATATGTGTTTGCCCACATGAGCGTCCACGGCGCTTAGAGGATCGTCCAGCAGATAGAGATCGGCATCACTGTACACGGCGCGAGCTAACGAGATACGCTGCTTCTGGCCACCTGACAAATTAATACCTTTCTCACCGATTTCCGTGAGATCTCCCGCCGACAGGATGTCGATATCGGCACGCAGGGCACAGGCGTCGATCACTTTGTTGTAGCGCTTCCGGTCGTAGGACTGTCCAAAGAGGATGTTGTCCCTCACCGTTGCATTCTGAATCCACGCCTGTTGAGGTACATAGGCCAACTTGCCCACGGTGTTGACAACGCCCGCAAGTTTCTCCATTTCACCAAGGAAGGCCTGAACCACAGATGACTTGCCAGAGCCCACTGTACCAACGAGGGCCACCAGGCTGCTCTTGTGCACTTCAATGTTGATGTTGCGCAACGTGATCTCATCGCCCCAGGAGAACTCGCCATTCTCAATGCTCATGGGATGAGCTGTAAGTATATTAAACGAGTTAATAATTATATCTCTAGAATTTTATTTAATTTTCTTACGCTTTGAGGAATCGTGGAGGACACTGTTGGGATCCAGTTCCTCACTGTTCAGGAACTTATTTATACGATTCACAGAAACTTGCGTCTATTCGTTCGCACATGGAAAATGGGAAATCGGTTAAAATAGTTTGCACAATATATGTTATTTTGATACACTGAATACGTTAGTAAAAGATTTGGGAAAGGAAAAATATGTGGGAGATGGGAAAAATGTAATAGTCCAAAACTGAATGAATGAGGAATATCCTCGGTGTCTGCCGAGGGTTTTATATACCCCTGCAGAACGAAAAAATATAAATGGGGATTGGTTAATCTTTTTAATTTGGAAGATTACCGTAGAGGGTGAAAAGGTTATTAAAGAATAAAAAAGAGCTACGAATGATATAAGGTAAACTTCTTTTAAACTTATATTTCTTTTGATGACCTATTTCTTTTATAACAAACAGACAAATATTCATGACTTCATCATTGTCTATAATTAAATCCCACTCAAATGCCCTCTGCAAGGGCATATTTAAAACCCCAACAAATGGTTGCCATTGAAACGGATGGAAAAAGTACCCCACCACCTTGTCTATGAAACATCGGATTTGGTTTGGTTCGGACAACTTTAAATCCCAGATGAATGAGATGATGTAAATTTAAACTGGATAAAAATGAATACAAGGAAAGAATAAAGGAAGGGAGAACTTTGGTTATAAGGATATCTTTCGGTGTTTTGGCTAAAAAAGAATTAAAATTGAGTAAATAAACATAAATCACAATCACAAAACGGCACAAAATCGGCGATCACAGTGGGGCTGGGGATTATCAAGAGGTGTTTATGAATATATAATCCCAACAGCCCCACTGTGATCGACTAAAGTGGTAGTATTTGGTATTGCAATCGAGCATAACTTACTTGCACCAGGTTGGTGATCAGCATGGGCAACATTGTTAACGGAAAACGGAGAATGTTGAATAATGATAATGAGACAAAGGTTTTGGTGGCATCAAGCACGTTATTTTCATCGATTAAAACGTAAGTGGCGAATGTGACTAATGAAACCTAAAAGATAATACACAATATCGTTTAAGGCATTGCTAAAAATGGTTGTTCTTGATCCTTGTTTTGAACTTGATGGAGATAAAGGAGAGGCAGAGATGCACCATAGCCGAAGAGGTTGTTATTCCATCGTCATCATGGTTGCCGTACCTCGGCTATGTCAACACTCAGCATAGGCAGGATGGTCAGCGGGAGTTTCATGAGGTCGAAGAGGGTGATTGAGACTAACACCTTCTCGACGCTCAGCTGATTCGCCTCGCTGATTAGCACGTAAGTTGCGAACGTGGTTAAGGAAACCTTGGATTGTTCAGACACGAAGTACATATATTTGCCAGATTAGTCCAATGTTATACGTCCAACTCATCTCAGTCAGCTGTAAAGAAATGTCGATGGCCACAGAGCCCTGCAGGGCTGGCATATCTTACCAGGAAGGGGGCGCAGGACCAAAGGAACGAAGTTCCCGCGTTCAAATAGGCCGTGGATCGCAGAGTCGCAATCTCCTTGTCACGGATGTCCAACACTTGCTTCTCGAAACTCGGCTCCCAGGCGTACAACTTGAGGACCTGTTAGGAATACAAATATAATTAAGTTAATCCCTCTCTCAAAATGTAATCCTTATCCTAAGATTACTCACCTTAATGCCACTCAGGACTTCGTTCATCAGCTTAACACGCTCGTCCTTGTACTTCATCTGCCTAATCTGATAGGTCTTGATGCGACTTGCAATCACTCCGTTAACGGGAATCAGGATAATCATCACAGCCAGACCGGCCAGCACAGACGGTCCCAATTGCTGCCAAAGGAAATACAAAGCCAGACCGATCTGCAGAGGCGCCGACCAGATCATGTTTAGGTAAGTAGTCAACTCCATGAAACGCTGGGCATCCACGGCCATCAGGTTGACGATCTCGCCCACGGTGGACTCCTTTTTGGTAGAGTTAGAAATGCGCAGGGCCTTGCGGTAAATGGCGTTGATCAAAGCCGTCCTGATCCGCAGACCGACAATAAACATGCGGTGGAAGTATTGACCCAGAATGAAGGTTTGGGCAGCGGCCAAAACGAAGAGCAAGACGGCGTACAAGATACCCTTCCACTCGGGCTCCGCTACTGTTTCTTGGGCCTCAACAAAAGTAATGATCAAGCTCAAGACTTGTGGCTGGGCAAAAGTCAGGACGTCGGTAAATAACTTCATCAGGGCGCCAAAAAGGAAGACGCCTCCGAAGGACTTGTAGATGGGCGGCATAATGCTGGCCATACCCTTTTTGCGGCCATTCTTATCACCATGGGGATTCTCAAAGGTCACATTTCCATTGCTGAACTGTGCTTTAGGTTCCACACGGGCTTTGCTCTTGTAGTTTTTGCGCACGTTTTGGTTCCAGTGGTGGGCAAAGATTGGCATCACTTCGGAGCAGCTGTCCTGGGGCCTCAGGTCCCACAGATCCTTCTCTTCAAGCGGATTGCGGTAGCCCTTCAGGGCCATACTATCGAACCACTGATAGGTAATCCTAGATAGGAAACTGGCCGAAAGCTCCGGAATCTCGTTCTCGCCCCTCTGGTACTTGGTTTGCTTGGGCATGCCGTCCGCAAAGCAGTTCAGGATCAGCATGATACAGGTGAAGGTGAAGAAGATGAAGAAGCTGGCGAACTGATACTCCTCCCAGGAGAAGTCTGGTTTGGTGGGCTGATCAGAGTTTAGGATATCCTGGCGATCAGCCTCCAACCGAACTTCAGTGCGGCAGCGAGGAATTGATAGCACGGTAAGCAAGAACCAAAAAAGGAACTGGCAGCCCGTGGTCTGCACGCCATACTTCCGATTCAGCGGGATGAATATGAAGATCAGCAAGAAGGTGGCGAACTTGATGATGGGACCCCAAACATCCAGGTCGTAGAGGGGCAGCTCAGAGTCACCGCCCTTCTTGATTAGAGCCATAATCAAATCCAGGGCAGTGATGACCAGCAGACCGAGATTCACCAAGGCCTTGCTTACGCTTAGCTTGTTCCATGGTATATTCCTATCCAGACTGGCTTTCAGGTAATAGAAGTCGAAAATTACGAATACCCAGTAAAAGGCGCAGGGCGTCCAGACCAGAGCCGTCTGCTCAAAGCATGGAGTGAAGTCAGGATCGGTGGTATACCATGTTTCCGTTGAGTTCTTTTAGGTGAAAGAATGGTGAAGAATGGAAACCCTATAGTTTCTGACCCTCATTCAACTGATAATGCACTTACCCAGAATGTGGAGCCGCAGAATCTGTCCATCGGCGAAAGTGTGTCCTCCGCCATGGTCACTCGTCTTCTCGACAACCTCTTCCACGTGCAACTGGGTTATGAATATAGCTATATCGGGCGATGTGGTAACTGTAAAGCAGCAAAGAAACAAACGGGTCTATATTTTCCGGCCAACAGCTGTTCCTTCCCAAGCCACACAACTACAACAACCGCTAATCGCAACAGTGGGAAGAGGTGTGTCCTAACAATGGTACTTTTCTAGTATTTAATGACACAGTGGGTGTGAGATAGCCGTGATTAATTTGTATTTCTTATATATGTTTAATAATTTATATAACATGAACTCTTTCTTTATCATTATTATTGTTATTATGAATTTAAATTTTTATTAATGTGAAAACCTTTTTGCCATAGGTGATTAATAACGATACTTAACATCTTCACGATATTAGATTCTAGTATTTTTTAAATGCGTTCTGGTATAATATCCCTTTCTGCCAAATGCCACACTAGACATTCTTAAACCGAGTTGGCAGCTCCTTTGTAAGAAATAAAAATTTTGTTTGTTGCTCGTCAAAAAGCACAAAAATATCATTCCATATTTATTAATTCGAGATTTGCTTTGGTTTTATTGAGTCAAAATGTCGCGTCGCTCAAATTTCATTGAGGGCAACGACAATTTTCGCGATCAGAACTTGCGTTTTGTGCGGGTAAGAAAATGAAGAAAGACGATGAAGAGAGCACCAAAAACCATTCATTTTATATTTTTGTATATCTATTAATGCAGAACGAGTTTGAGGACAACATTAACCAGTTCTTCGAAGGTGCTAATCCAGGCGGAAGTGGCCAGCAAAAGGCTCCACCGCGGGACTCGATAATTGTACAGCCGACCCCAGGTGAGTGCCGTCCATAGCAAAAACCGGAATTTCACAGGCTACCAAAATCGCTGCCGGTGAAACGTAGAATCCGGGAGATTCTAGCCGGCTAGGCATGACAATATATTTATGAGCTGCATGACACTTGTGTGCCCAATACCAACGTCCCATAATCTCTGCGAGTACGAAACCATGTCGACCAGATAAGCATCTCACGTCGCTGTCGATTACACGTTCAGTACAGTGAATCCGCGATAAGCCGAAGGGGTAGCCCGAGATCAGTGAGCGCAGCTATACACACAATGAAATAAGTAGCACTTCAAATGCGAAAGGGAAACGAGTCATAACCAATTTTAACCCTCAAATGCCTTGCTTATTTAAATAGTATTATATAATCTGTCCTTTTTTAAAAGATATTTGTGTTTAAAGTCAGGAGCTACTGTCTATTAACATTTGCTGTATTGCACAAAAACGTACATATATGGAATTTGATTAAATTTCATCAATATTAAGAATACAAAGACATTTTTTCTATGCAATCTATTAATAGCTTTTTTAAAGCAAATGCCATTAGAGATAATAAAAATTTTCACAATTTAAATCCTCTTTGTAATTATCTTCAGAGATCTCATCAGTAAATAATTATTCAGCGTAAACTTTTTAATCAATTATAAGTTTTTTAATGCAAGTAACTATATCCAATATATTTGTTTACCAATTATTCTAGTAAAATCAAAGAAGGCGTCATTTGTGGGTTAAAAGGGTCAGGCAGTATAGTTTGTAATCTAGCCCATCGTAATTGTGTGCTATGCAAAGATAAGTGTTTACGTGCTCAGGGCCACTTCGTGGAAGGTCTCATCGCGCCCACTTGAAGCGATAGTTTATTGTCCACCGATTGGTCATTGCCAATGACAAATATGCAACGAAAACAAGTTTTCCCGCCTCAAAGAAGAACTAATTTACACAATAGAAACAAAAAGAAGAAAGACAAACTTGGAGCTAATCTTGACCGGAGCTGCGAATTTTGTTAGAGGCGTTGGGCTAGTCACATTTTATGGGCGCTAAAAACTTGTTTGCCTGTTTACGCATGTGCTTAAAACATGCGGCTTTAGATCAAATTCTAGCACGGCACAAACGGGTATTTTTAAGTTAGATATAATTAATGGCGAAACCTGTTCCGCCAAGCAGCAGCAACGATTATATAAGCACAACAATCCGAAGACAAAAATCGCCAGTAAATGTAATAATCAATTGCTCAAAAGTCTATTGTTTTTAGTCTTACGCGAAATTTCTCTCTCAACAAACTACAAAAGCGCTAAGTCACGATGAGATGAAAACGAGATCTCTTGACTCTTCGATAAAATCCAAGGAAAAAGCACGCCGGATTTTTCTCCGGCTGAACTTATACTCTCTCTCTCACTTTAACATGACACTTTATTTGTTTTCTCTGGATCTTAGCCTGCCGGCATAAATTGTTTACACGCTTTTCTTAGCACCGACAAACAAACGTGATTTATTTACAATATATTAACGACACTTGACAGTTGTTGTCTTAATGAATGCAGAGCGATAAGGAGCTGACTTTGCTGCATTTTCAGCCAAGTGAAAACTCCGAAAAAGAAGGAACTTCCCTATAGCGAAAATGCTTTTTATAAGCAATTCTTTATCGGTGGCCCCCACGGCTGAACCTTATCGGTACCATATACTAGACTCTTCTATTGTGTTTGTCGTAATTCTGTTTTCCGGTTATGAATTGCAGTAATCCTTATATAGTTGCTTATCGCACACTTGTTTGCTCTACTTGTTGCTGCTGCTGCTGCTTCTTTGCCTCAATAGCTTCAGGGCCTTCTTTTTTCTGAACTGATTATCATCGTGATGGCAGAAGCTGTCGAAACTATAGACTACAAACTTTCATGGCCTCTGACGTCAGCAGTTGCAACAGTAATTACAGTAAAACCCACGAAGCTATTTATTTCAATTGTCATTTGATTTCATTTGAATTTAAGAATCAACCTTGCTCACACCAATTACACACTGTTTTTATCAATTAAATAATCGCGCTACAAGCATGACAAAACACTAATTGTTATTATCAAACAATTTTGTTAGTGAATCACCCATTTTTTTTATTTTGAGGAATGTTTGCGCGGGATTCTCTGATACTCGACGAAAATTTCACAATTTTACGGCAAAGATACTTTCACACCCACAACGAAAAATACAGATACATATTCACATAGATACGCACGCACACACACAAACTTGTTCCGCTTTGGGGGACTCCAACAACAACAATACCATCAGAAGCAACAATGGACGATGGTATCAATGCGACTGAAATGTCACTTATAATTACCTCGACGTTGAAAAAAAATCGCTGCGATTCGAACAGATCGGAGAGAATAGAATCGAAGCGGTTGGGATTGGATCGGTTTTGGATGGATTGAGGACAGCAATAGCAACAGTAGAGCACAAAATATCGACGAACAACCGGCTCGTAACGAGCTAAAAAGGCAACTGAATTCGAGCCAAGCGCTGCGAACAAACTTATTTGTTTTGCCCAGCCGTTCTCCCCAAAACAAAAATGAGATAATAGCCGCCACAGAGAGAGAGAGGGAGAAAACCCCATAAAACAAGAGTATATATACCAGTATAAAACGTTTGACTTCGCTCTTGTCAACGGTTTCCCCGATCAATTAACCCAATAAAGGTTCCCTCTCACTAGACAATGTTTGGGCAGAAAAAGTAACCCTCAGATACCGGGAGATATCTCTCGCTCTCTATGAACAATATTATGGGACTTTCCGGCTCTGGTGAAATTATTTTGACCGCGTGTAAAGCTCGCAGAGTTGCAAAAAAGCACACAGAGTGGAGCACTCTTAAGCATTTTGTTGTCTCAAGAGCAACAGAAGACGTCGAAAATGATAACGATAGCTTACCAAATTTGGAGGATTTAATGGGTGTTTGGTCTTGAATTCTACAAGTTTTTGTTATAAGCATGACCACCTACTGTTCGATTTGTTTGTACGTGAGACCAAGGGTTCCTTAGTAGCTTATCATTTCGGTTCGATTTGATTTCATATTTATATTTTATATACATATGTGTAAGCCAATGTGTTGGAATCAAAATAAAATACTCTTAGAAGTTACTGGAATCGAAAAAAAATTTCATTGAATATTTGAAATTTTATATATAAAATTGATAGCATTGTTTATCTAATCAATGTGTGCAAATGTTAAAATTAAAATATTAGATAGTGACTTTGATTCTTTCATAGATTGACAAAAACACCAACCATCAACCTGAGTCAGCAATTTGATACCGACAAAAAAGGCAATTAAGTATTAATGCATTTGAATTTAGTTTCCCATTTTACTTCCAAAATGTGGGGCCTGCATTTATTTTATTTAAACCAACAATGAATCCGATAATTCTGATATTGGTTTAATAAACAGTTTTTTTTTTTTTCAATTAACACTTTTGCATCGTAAATTATAAAATCTTTTAAATGTCATTGCACAAATTATTATTATTATTATTGCCGAGTAGATAAGATTGGAATAATGGTCTGCAAAACGTGACAAGGCTCTAACCCAAAACGTGTCTGATTTTCTAAATTTCTGATTTCATGTGGTACCATGAAATTAGGAAACATCGAACTGGACAATCGACGTCAGTTTCTACGCGAGCTGGGCGCCAGTCGTATGTTGGCTAACTCCCTGGCGAAGCGCAACTTCAACCTGCGCCAATTCCAGCGACAGAGGTACCGCCTTAGTGTTGAGCTGGGTGATGATCATCAGGACGTGGTTGATAAGGAGGTGCTGAGATCAATCGAAGAGGCGGTGGAGAACCCAGGCGGTGGTCAATCACGTCCTCGCACTCCTTCGCCGCCGCGGAACATCGATTGGAACGATAACCAGGCTAATTTCCCGGGAAATAATGACCGATCACGTCCGAGGAATCGTCCGAGGCAGGACAACATCCAAGGCCGCAGAAACAACACTCAGGAATTTGTGGAGCAGCGTCAACCGGTGCGGGAGCCAAATAATAGAAATTCTGGACCAATTCGTGACGTCAATCGCGGTAACCCCAGAGGAAATCCTGAAGAATTCAATCGAAACAATCGAAGTAACAACTTTGGTAATCAAAATAACACCCATCAAGAGCAACCGCCGAGAGACAACAGTCGGCGGTTTGCTGAACACCATCAACCGATACGGGGGCCAATCAATAAGAATTCTGGACCCGTAAATGGTCCCATCAACCGTAATCGGGATGCTGAAGGATTTAATCGAAACAACAATCGAAATGCGAATCCCCAAGAATTCCATCGTAATAATCGTAATGTCAGTCAACAGGAATTTAATCGGACTAATCGAAATGCACCGGAAATTAATCGAAATGAAAATTCAAATGCTCAGCAATTTAATCGTCCCAATAGGAACGTGAATCCGCAGGAATTTAATCGCTCTAACAGAAATTCAAACGCTACTGTGGGTGCTGAAGAATATAACCGAAATGCGAATAACAATAGAAACTTTCGCAATAATCGTAATGCGAATCAGCAGGACTTCAATCCTAATTATTCGCAGGGAAATAATCGTAATGATTTCAATGATGAGTTTCATCAAAATGATCGTAATATCAACAGTGTTGAGTTTAATCGAAATAATCGTAATATTAGCAATGACGAATTTAATCAGATGGATGTGGACGATCAACCAAACATCGATGATTATCCACAAGGAAATCAAATTAACCGTTATGCAAAACCCAAAATTTAACCGAAATACAAATCCCGAGGAATATAATTTCAACAAACAGAATGAATATCCTCAGGGATCAAATCGAAACACCAACAATCGTGGTCAAATGGCAAACAGAGGTAAGCCCTCAAACTTCAGCAACTCTCGGACAAACCACAATCGTGGATCTGATACTCAGAATTTCGTTCCAAAACAACAGCACAACTTGGATAGAAATTCTATAATTAATCAACGTAGCAATATTGGTGAAAACTTTCAAATGTCTGGAGACAGATTTGTTTTGCCTGACAATCACCTACAACATCAGCAGCATTTTAATAACGAAGATATTGACGATATGAACGAAAACAATCGCAGAACCCAAACTGGTCGCAATTATCAGCGCATTGTTAATAATAACCAAATCACACTCTGTCGCACGGACTGGATTGAAGCTAATGAAAGAAATTTTGTTGCTGAACGAGACTTCAATGATGATTTCCTTGAAGATCCTTGTTTCATTGATGATATAGATGGTGATACTATCAACGATGAACATTTTCGTGGACAGCAGCACGACTCTATGGGTAACCAACCCAATTTCCGGGAACATAGCAACAATGCTCGTAATGCATATGGACGCGATCGCAACTTTGACGGCAATAGGCGCCAGTTCGATCGAGAAATCGATCGGCGCAACTTAAGTGACAACTTCAATCAGCGAAACAACTCTTCACGTGGCGTTGACATCCAACGCTTTCCACATGGGGAAGATGACACATTCCAAGGCTCAAATGACCATATTCAATCTAATCAGTATGAACGAGGTTCAGATTCTGGAGATCGATACCTCAATAACCGACAATCTGGAGATCCCATTCCTAGCAGACAAACTGGGCCCAACCAAAACAGACGTAACTTTCCAAATGCTAAAAGACTTGCCAATGCTGGCGGTCCAAATCAAAGCAGAACTAATTCGAGTCAACGCATTTCTGGAAATCGTAACGCAACCAAGATTTCTGATGGTCCATATAAAAACCGGCCAAATACTTCAACGAATCAAGTAACTCGTAAAACTTCTAGTGGTCCCAACCAAGGAAGACCGAACTTAAACCAAGGCCGTGATGGAAAACCCAACAGTCGTGTGACGACTCAAAACAAACCCAATCAACCGGAAAACCTTGCCAGGAACACAAATCCTGATCCAACAAGATCTGGTCAGCAGGCAACTAAGAACATTACGGCTATGGCGAAGCCACGCGCTGGTAAGGGATACGTTTTTAAATTCATTATAAAAACCAAACTTAATGCGAACCAATTGAGAACTTTCTAAAAGCTATCCTTCTTGTACTTAATTTAATGAAATGGTTCTGCAAATTAATTTTACACCTACATTTACATGTAGCCTGGAATGCAAACGGTTTTTTTTTTTAATTTGGCTCTTAACAGAAAATTTTGTAGATTTCTTAATGGTTAGAATAGCCATTTAAATAGTTTCCCTAACGAAACTTTTTGGATAGAAAACACTTTCTTGGATTCGAAACTGAAGCAATGATACAAACGGTATACATTTTTATGAAATTTTTTGAAAAATAATCGGGTTTAAAATATAAGGAATACCAGAAACACCAGGACTCCTTTTTTGGTTTGCATTCCCAAATAGACGAAAATCCCTTCAAAATATAAAAAGCCTATTCAATTTTGCAGGACAAAAAAGAGATGCGGAGTCCGTAGAATTAGGAGTTCCAAATCGTGCTAAAAATTCCGACCCGAAACGCCGGAAAGTGAACACAAGCCGAAACTTTATTATAGGCGGAATTCGTCTGCCCTATATAATGACCAATCGCGTTAAACTTCCACAAGAAGAGGAAGAATCCTACGCGGTCACTTTCTTCGAGCAAACTCCTATCTACAACACAAACATTTATGCCACTGACGATGGCGATATTTATGACGAAGAAGATGAAGAGGAGATGTCTGATACAGATTCTCTGGACTCAAACCGATCTGATACACAGTCCAAGTTCAATGTTCAGAGCCCTGCGAGGAAGTTACGCGTCCAGCTCCGCAAAGAGTGGACAAAGGTATATAGGACCAATAACTACAAGGACTGGCGTGCCTGGTGGAAGGATTACAAGTGGTGCGGCAACGAAATTAACAAAAACCTCGAGAAGTTCGGTGATCGTAGTGTTCGCAACCACTTTGCGCCCGCTGGTAATAAGATCACCGACCAGGTGATCACCCACATATTCAAACAAGGTCACATGGGTCTGCTGAGGAATACTTTCAACCATTACCGTGATATGCGTTCGATTTTCCAATTGATGAACGAAAACTTCCTCGCAAATTTGTCTGAAGAGCAAATGCAGGAATTACAGGACTTAATTCGTGGTATTCCGAATCACTTATGGCTGTACAAGATCCGCAGCATGTTGTTCCTTTGGGAGAGATACCACGGCACACTAAAGCATCCAACGCCAAAAAATTTGAATAATGAAAAGGAATTTCAATCCATTGTACGAGTCTGGAAGAATCCCGCCTTTCACTGGCTTGCCAAGCAAGCTTTTGATGAGCTCAAGGTGGGTGTGAAAGTTTTGTCAGCAATAAAAGCAACTGATCACAAGTTTTTATAATTTTGATAAAACTACTCAGATATTAAGTAAAAGTAATATGAATTATAACCGTTTGATCAGATGGCTTTACTTTTACATATAAAACTATTCAACTAATACACTTATTTTGTTTATATTTCTAGGCAATAAGTGAAATCGCTTGGCCGGATCATAATAAAATCTATCCTCACTTGAAATCATAAATGAATAGGAAACGTAGCCCAAAAATTTGTCAACTATACTTTAAACTGTATATGGAATTAATCGAATAAATAAATGCTTTTTGCTTCTACAATGGAGAACTACGCTTAAATCGACATAAAACTTATTTGTTATATTAAATTTTTACTATATTAAACTTTAATAATTTTATCCGTTTTTCCATTCCTTGCCCTCTCCTTAGGAATCTGTGTGAAGAGTTTTAAGTTGAATAGCGACGAGAAATTCTTCATTAATGTGTGCCAAGCTACGGAAGTTCCAGCACCTCAAGATGTCACCGAGGAGGAACTGATTGCCATATTAGAATCCACTACACCAGGATCATATCGAGTACCCATGAGCATCTCAGAGCCAAGACATACCAAGGATCGTTCCGATAAAACAGTCGATGTGTGCGATATTGCCATCAATCCAAAATTTCTGGTTAAGACACAGAAATCCCAGCTTTTCAACAATTTCTTTATGCAAATTGTGGCTGAAGCTCTCAGCGAAAAGTACAATGTGCAGCTCAACATGGATAAGACTATTATCCTTAATAATCGCAAGTTCATTGGCACCTTGGTGTCTCATCGCGTGCGCAATGATGATGTTCAAAGGGCTCAGCCCGCACCTGGAGATCCGGTTGCTGTTAGAAACCAGAATACGGCAGTGAAACCAGATAATTCTGGAAAATTGGTGCAGGAGATCAACGAAAAGGATGCTGCAGCCATAAGGAATAGCCGCCAATTAGGAGAGAGAATGTCGGAGTTGCAGTACAAGCTTCGCGCCCGAGTTCGGGACGATAAAGTTGATGAAATCCACGCTGAGATTTACCTTCCAAACTGCGTTAGTAGAATAAAAATCCAGAAAGTTTATAAACAGAAAATTTACCAACTTACTTCGCAGGTTTCTTCGCATGAGGTTAATCTTGATGTTGGCGAGGATCGTATCCTAGTGGAATCCCTCAGACATGGCTATGTGTTTGACAAATTTGTCAACTACCGTCTGCAGCAAGATCGCGCCCAGGCTCTATTCGATAAAACTAGCAAGGTGACACACTAAGACGCCAAACAAGGGTGCATTATTTTTAATCTCGAATTTCTATGGTTTTTCAGATGCTACAAATCCGTATTCCTGTGTTTAGTAACTAAAAACATAATTATCGCGCAATAATAATGTTTGCCTTATGTAATGAATCATTACCCTTGTGATGTTAAAACCTTTTAATAAAATTTTTTTAAAACTCAAAAATTCGTAACTTTTATTTGGTTTCAGTTGGAAGAATTTCATCATTGCTAAACATTTTTATTTTAAAAATACTGACTGTTGCAGTATTATTTTTTATTAAAAAGGGGAAATTTATATTAGTCTACTCTAGAATTTATATACTTTATATACTGGATGGAAACATCACAACAAGATGACATTTTATTTTGAACCAGAATAAATTATTTGATTGCTCGTAGACTAAAAGTATTTTATGTATCGAAAATAAATCATATTTTCTTGATACTTTTCAGTTTTTTAAAAATTAGTTTATAATCATGCAGACATTCCGTAACACTATTTTAGTTAATTAAACTATATACAAAATTAAATCTAAGCTAAGGTACATATATAAAGTCGTGACAGAAGTAATGTTCCATGCGATAAACATTCTAACACTTTAAGGTCATAAAAAGTCCGTATTTTTAATGATAATAATATAGTGTAATATAATGCTAATGTTACAAATATTAAATTCTAGAAGATTTTAAAGAACCTTTGATGCTAGTATTTTTTTTATTAAAAAATACCGAAACCATATATGGGATTTAATACCAGTTTGTGTAGCCGGCGTTCGTTGTGTTGCAACCCTGAATGTTTGACTGCGAAAAAATTTAGGGAAAGCAAAGAGTTTTTTGATTCTTTAGGCCCTTAATTGTGTTGAAAATAAGCGTCAAAAGGTGTGCAATCGACAAATAAGAGTAACAAACGATCTACTAACTCCGGGTAAGCACCAATCGGAATGGACTACCGCCAACTTAAGAACGACGCTTACGGCATTGGTCAACGGCGTGGAATGGGAAGCTCCGTCGGTGGTGGTGGAGTAGGAGGTGGGGGCGGGATGTATTCCTCAAACTTCGGCGGTGGCGGCAACTATGGCGGAGGCGGGAATTCAGTTGGTGGTGGAGGCTACGGCGGCAACCGAAATCAGAATATCGATGGAGGTAACTTTAATCGCGGTGGCTACAACAACAACAGCGGCGGCAACAATAACAATTTTCCCCGTTCTGGAGACGATCGATCCAGTTTTAATCAAAACAATCAACGGTTCGCCGGGAACTCCGGCGATAATTACCAAGACAACTTCCGTGGTGGAGGTGATCAGTCCTCCAATTTCGTCCAATCAAACAGAGGACCATCCAGTTTCGGCAATTTAACTCGTCAACTGGATCTGGAGGCATCCCAGAATCGCAATCCCGGAAATTCTGGCAATTTTAGCTCAGACCGCCAGCCGGACAACTTTAGAGGACACCAGTCGCAAGGATACGGCGATAGGTTTCAGAACGATGACCCCAGGAATCAGGGCTCTTTCGGTAACTTTGGTCCCAATAATGGACCTTCTTTTGTCGGCAATAATGGAGGAAACAATGGCCCTTCCTTTGGGGGAAACAATGGTCCTTCCTATGGCGGAAATAATGACCCTTCCTATGGCGGAAATAATGACCCTTCCTATGGAGGAATCAATGGTTCTTCCTATGGAGGAAACAGTGGTCCTTCCTATGGAGGAAACTCCAGCAACTTCAACAATGACAACTTCTCCGGAAGAGGCTCTAACTTTAATAACCAGCAGACTGGTTTCAATGATTCTTACGGACGCGGAGGAAACCAGGGCAACTTTGATCAGAACTCTGGAAATTTCGGCGGTAATAATCAAACAGGAAACTTTAACGATCGCGGACCCGGAGGTGGAGGATCAGGAGGCCCAGGATTTAACCCAAACTCTGGGGGCAACTTCAGTGATAACAATTCTGGAGGCGGCTTTAGCAACAACATAAGTCGCTCCTTTAACGACTCTCGCAACAAGTGGAACAATTCGCAATCGCAAACATCCTCATTCCAGGCCCCAGGCTATCAATCGAACAGTGGTGGTAGAGGAGGCGGAGGAGGAGGAGCACCTAGTAATTCTGGATGGGAAGCCAGCCAGCGTGCATTCAATTCCAAGCGGAACCAGCTGCAGAAGATGAATCTGAACAATGGCGGATCTGTTCGCAAACCAGGACCTCAGCCAACCGCTAAGGCCGTCCAGAACTTGCGAAACAATCCTCGGGCTGCTGCAGCAGTCGTCAAATCAGTGGACAGAAGCAACGGTGCCAACAACAGAAACATCCAGCCTAGCAAGCCTGGCAATATACGATCTGGCAATGCAGCTGGAGTCCAAAAAAATGTGACCAATGCGGTAGCCAATCAGACTACGGTCAACTATTTGGCGCCTAAACCGAGTACAGTAACCAACAAAAAACCATCTGTAGCTGGACATGCAGTGAGAAGGGGACCTGGAGTTGTGCGTAGTGGACACGGTGCCGTTGTTAGTGGACCTGGTGCCGTGCGCAGCGGACCCCAGGGAGTGAAACCTGGCCCACAGGCTCAAAAACCGGGAGCACCCGCTGTTAGGGCTGGCCAGCCAACTGTTAAAAGCGGCCCACAAGCAGCCAAACCAGCCGTAGCTAATAGGCCACCAAAAGCTCCAGGACTAACAGTTCAAGTTGGTAAGTTTCGATTTCCATGTAGTATGACTTTTTTAAAAACACTGCCCACTGCTTAAAACGATAATTTTAGGACAGAAGCGCGTTGCCCCCCCTCCACCGCTTGATACTGTTGCTGCCCCCAAGTCGGTGAAGAAGTGGCGCCGAGTGGCCCGCAAACGAGGTTTCTTAATAGGCGGATACAAGATCCCGTACATGAATGACCAACCTAAAAAGCTACCGCAGCCGGAGGCCGACTCATATGCCCTGACCTTCTTCGAGCAGAATTTTAATTACAGTACAAACCAGGACGCCACTGAGGAGGACTTTTTGGACGCTGCCGTGGTTCTCAATGAGGATTCGGAGGATGAGTCGGTTGCCGACGACGACAAATCTGCTCGCAAGATCGCAAAGCGCAACAGAAAGCGTCTGAGGTCAGAGTGGGCCCCACTATACGAATCGAAGAAGTATAATGTTTGGGCCAACTGGTGGAAGGATTACAAGAAAGTTGGCGAGGAAATTGACAAGCAGCTATTAGAGAGCGGCAACCTTAATCTGGAGCATTGTTTCCTACCCAATCTACCCAAGCTCAGCACAGAGCAGGTGGTTTATGCCATCATCAAGTCCGCCCATTTTGGACTCGAAAAGAATGCGGATGTGCCGTACGACACATTGAAGACTATATTCACGTTGATGAACCGCACCTTCCTAGAGAACATAACAGAGTTAAACATGGTGGAGATTCAGGACATTATTCGCGGCATTCCAAATGATCTTTGGGTATATAAAATGCGCAGCATGGTCTACCTGTGGGAGAAGTATAAGACAGTTATCAATTCCAAGTCTACCGCCGAGGAGGATATCAATGATCAGAAGGCTATCGCCCGGGAGTGGAAAAGCCCATGCTTCCACTGGTGTGCTAAGCAGGCTTTCGATGAGCTAGTGGTAAGTTGAACCTTAAATTTTTTAACAAACTTTGCCTAAATAATTAATTTGGAATCTTTTTCTAACAGGCAATTAGTGCAACCGAATGGAAAGACCACGAAAGCACCTTTCCTACTAAAGAGTAAAAATACTTGGACCATCATCAAACGTACAGTAGGTTCTTCTTCAGGAGTATTTTATGGATTGTATGATTACGTATCTAGTTGTATTAAAGACCTTTATTGCACATTATAAAGAAACATCCTGACTATATGAAGTAGCCTGTAATTAGATCAGAATATTTGAACAAATAAAACAAATCTTACCCAGAAGACTGTATCTTCGTCCCTTCTTGAGGAAACTTAATAATATTTATCACAAATGTATCATACTAGGATGACAGAACAATTGTCGAAAATACAAGTCTTTTTATTTCTGTTAGGTATGAACGTCGAGTTCATAACATTTTATATGACGATAGAAGAATCCTATTAATAGTGAAGTAGCTTGTAATTGGAATGAATAAAAAAATAAATAACCAACTTATAAGATAAACATTAATATTTGGAATTATAGAAAGGGTCTATCAAGCGCGAACTTTCAATATGAAAGTAAATATTGTTTGAGAACATTGGGCCTAGATAGTCACTAAGGCTATGACTAAGGATAGTCACTTGGCAGCCATTTAAATTACTTGTATAAAGTAGTAAGGGAATAACAACATGGCATACCGGAATCATAAAGCATTTGGTAAAAACTATATCTAATACTGGGATACGAGGATATGGGTAAGATCAATATATAAGAAATAAAATACAGTGAATTAGGAATAACTAGACATTTATGCAGTCGATGTCTTTAACAATTTTATTGCCAGCAACGAAGTTTTCTATATGTCTTTTTTCAGGTTTTAGGTTACAATAGTTTTGCGAATTATGAATCAAATTTCAACTGGCCTTATATAATGGTGACGAACTAGGCACCCAGCTGCTTGTAGAGGATGGGCACATAATCATCATATTCCGCCTGGTAGAGATTTCCGGCAATAGGATCGCCTAGGGCGTACTTCTTGGCAAAAACAGAGATCTTGAATCCACCTCGTCCATCACCGCTGTTATTGGGCAGCCTCTTCTCGTCGAAGGTTAATTTGCACCGTTGCTCGAAAATAAGGAAAACGTAGCGATGCAGTCCGGTGTCCGGAGGTGGTCCGGATCCCACATAGGCCGAGAGCACCTCTCCCTTAGCGACATCGGCACCAGGAATATTGCCAACCAGCCAGTGGTGCCATTCCCTGAACTTGGGGTCCTTACGACTCGGAGCATCCGGGTCGGTCATACAGAGGGTGTACAGCTTGTTGGCATCCGCCTCCCACTTGACACATGGCTCATCCTTGACCTGGGTGGGGGTCAGCACCTGGCCCGGCTTAACAACAATGCCGCATGGATATTCAACCACAGCAGTTTGTGCGGGAGCCTTGGAAATCACATCCGGAACAACGCAGTTCTCCTCCATGGTTTTACCAATATTTTCGCAAGAATACTGCCGTTGAAATGGTGTAAATGCAGAGAGCGGCTCTTTGGTTATGATGTTGTTAAAAGTTTTCAGCGTTCTAATGGCGGCCGGGAAATTGACAGCAGAAGAATTGACATTCACAGCGGTTGATCGGGGTAAATCCTTTCCAAAGCCCTGTTAAAGCGTTACGATTGATATTGCGCAATACTCTTAAACGTAACAAGCTCATCTTTATAGTTTAAATGAACCTAATAAGATTAATTAAATAACTGTTTATTTTTTTGTTTTCTGATTGTCAAACGGCAACAGTACTATTCACCTGGAATTTTTAGACTTTTGTTATCGCTATCGATAGCGATAGTTATATTTTAAAATTTTAAATGTTCTTTGAAATTTAATGAAACGCTAACTACAAAGGCATTCTTTGATTTATAATTTGACTTTTAATAATATAGTGATTGCCTGGAAACCAAAATCTCCATCTGCATGCAATTCACAATAAAGACTATTACAAATATTTGTTAAGTAAATCGTTTTTAATATAGTTATCAACCTAAACCTATTTTATTATACTAGTGAATGTGTAGATAACAAGATCGAAGGAACAATAAATGGGGATGAGATGTTTGAATGCAAGTGATATGCACAGATATTTGGACCAATGCTTTGTATGCAGAGTAAACTCTTTGTCTTCAGGTCGTCCGCTGCAGGGGATGCAACTAGACCTGGTAGCGCTGTTTGTGTCAGGCCTTCCGGAACATATCGCCCGATCCGTAGGACAGACGTCGTTCCTTAGAGTTGTTGGTGACCAGCACTTCCTCGTCGAACTGCGACACCCTCTGCATTTTCGGTCGCATGAGACCTCTTACATCATTCAGCGATATATCAATATCTCTGAAGGCGTTGAGCAGGAAGACAGCTGTGATTACGATTAGAAAGCCGCAGACATCGCCCAGGATATCATCGAATCGCATGTGGGTGAATTCCTTGAACAGGATGGCTGATGCAGCTATCACCAGGGTGGTGAACATCACATAATAAACTGGAGTCACTATACTAGTGTTAAATATATCCAGCGCTTTGTTTAAATAGTTCATCTGGATGGCTATAAACGTAACGGTGACCAAGATTAGGAACCACGGCATCCAGGTGAGGAATACATTTCCTCCATTATTCAACGTCTGTCGGATGGCCAGACCCAAGGCCTTGCAGGACATCACAGTCAGGGAACCAATTCCGGAGCACATAAATATGTAAACCACCACATTCGTGTGTCCATGGCGTGGGGCAATAAAACAGGCCACAAACACCGTGGATCCAACGATGCAGATCACATACAGAATGAATACGGGATCCAAAAGCATATCAAACAGCAGCTGCAGATCCTCGACCTCCTTCTCTTTTGGCGAGTGAATCACAATGATGGTAGATCCCAGTATGCACAGGAAACATCCTATCTTGCCCAGTAAGTTCAGCTTCTCATTGAGGAATTTGGAGGCCATTACGGCGGAGATGATCACGCTAAGGGCACCCAAGGGGGTCACCAAAGAGGCGGGCGCAAAGGCATAGGCCGCAAAGTTGGCCGCTTCTCCCACACCCACTGTAAGAAAAAGACAGTGAATCAATGAGTCAGTCAGATAAGGCGGTTTGTTTGTCAGTTAATATACCCTTGCATTTGGTATTATAATTTTGTGATTCAGTTTGCACAAGATACTTTCGATTCTATAGATTAAATTCATATATATTCCTTATCTCTCGATTTTAAAGATCATAATTTTAATGACTGTGTTATGGGAACTGTAATTGTAATTCGACCTTGATAAAGCATATCTTTGAAGTTAAAAAAAATCGATCAGTCTTAATTAGGGCCCCAGGTCTGTTGTAGATAATTACATTTAATTATTTATGTACTTAGCAAAAAAAAAATTGCATTAAATAAACTCAGTTTCAGTCAAATTTGGGAAAAATGTTTAGTAAAAAAAAACACAGTAGAACAATCACACTGCAAGGGTATTCCCCTACCCAAGTCTTGTTCTCCACTTACTCGTGAGAAGTCCCGCCCACCATATCCACTCCCTTAGATATCCAAATCCTCCTGCTGAAGCTCTGACCTCGCCGTATCTGCTCAATCTGATGAGGGCCTTCTTCTTGATGATAAAGCTGGAACCTATGAAGAAGCAGGAAGAGATGGCCAGTCCTACTCCAATGTAGAAGTCTGTGTTCGACACCGCCTCCGCCACTGAAATGGGGGCGGGGACAGGCGATTGGTTGGCTTCGCCCTGGAGGATGCCCCCGGCCGTCATCTGGGGCATCTGCAGTGATGAGGCTTCGCCGTCGCTGTTCATGGCTAATCCGCTCTGTGATCCGCTTCTGGTGTCCAACTTTACGCACTTAGAAGTCTGACTCACAAACCAACAATGGATCTTTGGAGTGGCTGCATGCAGGAAGGGGGAAAATACCAAATTTACCAACACTGTCAGTGATGCTAAACGGTTTAATGTTAAAACTGTATTCTTATTTTTACCAGAATATGTAACAGTATGTACATGTAAAAATTTAAAATATTATTTACAGAAGCAAAAGCATAAATAAAAAACTAGCATCATCCAGTTATATATTAATATAACCATTTTCGAAAAAGAAGTCTTAGAGCTGGCCAACAGTTGCCATTCACAATGGACACCTCCAACGATAATGAAAACAAAACGTGCAGCCGGCCGAAGAAATGCCGCCGAAATCGAGCAGCAAGAAAAATCAGGCCAGTTGGTACCACTGCGACTCCTGCGGTGCTCACATTCCTTACAAGGCCAGAGATAACCACGATGGCTTGTGCTCTGCCATAAGCCAGGATGATGCTATTGCTGATTCCGAGGCGGAGTACGTTCGGAGTGGGGCGATCTTTACGAGAAGCCTTCAGCAGCGTAATTTCGAGGTGGAATCCCTGAAGGATCTCCCTGGGAAGTATGCCAACATGCTGATATTTGTCTCCGAGGGAGCGATGCAATTAGCTCAGCTGCACATAGGCCAACATGTGGTGTTGGTAGCTCCTTCGATGGATGAGCACCCACTGGTAAGGATTGTGTGGCCCATATCAGAACAATTTCTAACCACAGTATTTGTGAGCGATAGCGGTAAGTTAGATAAACTTTACAGCAATTTTTCAAGATTAATCATTGTAATCTTTTCCAGACTTCAAACTTCATTGCTCGCAGCTGCGGGGAAAACTCCTTAAGATATCTGCCTTGGATACCAGTCGCCTTACAGCGGCTTCCAGCGTTTCTCTTAAGCAGATAAACAGCGCAGAGTCCCCTCTCAAATCAGGACAACTCCAAGATGCGATTGCACTTCTTAAAAAAGACTTGGTCAATAGGGTATTTTCAAAGGGCAGTCAGATCAACATGAACTTCTTCAACAAATCTCTAATATTTCGCTTGGAGCGCTGGCAAGGAACTGTTGAAGAGGCTCTGGCTGGACTCACTCTGGACGCCAAGCCTTTGCAGTTTGTGCAGATTACAAATGTCACAAAGCTTCTACTGATAACTGAAAACTCAAATCAGCAGCATGAGGAGCAGAAAATATGCCATAGGGTAACTAAATCCCACATAGGAGGACTGGATAAACAATTACAACTGGTGGAGGAGAGCATGGAGTACGCCTTAGGCTTTCGGACAACGCCTACAGGTTAGATTAACCCAAACAAAAATTTTTATCTTTATACAGTGCTTTTATTTTTTAGGCCTTCGGGTATCTAGAGGATTGCTTCTTTTCGGTGCCACTGGGTGTGGAAAGTCTATGATCCTGGAAGCCATGTCCGCAGTGGCAGAGGAACATAGCCAAGGAAATGTACAAGTGATCCGTATCAACAGTGGCGAGGTCTACAGCAAATTCCTCGGCGAAACGGAACAAAAATTGGCAGCTATTTTTGAGCGTGCGTACAATCACTATCCACATCCTACTTTGCTGCTGATAGAAGATGTCCATAACTTGTGTCCCAAACAGGAAAGCAGCGATCTGGTTAAGCGCGTCTCATTATCGTTTCTTTCCCTGTTGGATCAGCTGAGTACTCCCAGCCAGCTAAAGGGAAGTAAGACCTTTGTACTGGCCACTAGTTCACAGATCGAGGCCCTGCACCCAAGTATTCGGAGAGCTGGAAGATTGGACAGTGAAGTAGAATTGGGAGCTCCCAGTTCTCTGGCAAGGAGGGACATTTTAAGATGTCTTATTCAGTCTTTAAGGCATCAATTGAGTGAAGATGAAGTGGAGCATATAGCGTCTATTACCCATGGGTATGTGGGAGCAGATCTAGCGAATCTAATATATGCTGCAATGCTGCAGGCGGAACAGAATTTCCTACAGCTTCACCATCTGCAGACTGCCTTGACTCGCATCAAACCTTCTGCGATGCGTGAAGTCCTCATCGAGTGTCCCAATGTTCAATGGGCAGACATTGGCGGTCAATCCGAGCTTCGATTGGCCATGCAGCAGGCCATCGAGTGGCCGCTGCTTCATGCTGAAAAGTTCCAACGCCTGGGCATCAAGCCACCAAGAGGAATTCTCATGTTCGGACCACCAGGATGCTCCAAAACAATGATTGCCAAGGCTCTGGCCACGGAAAGCAAACTAAACTTCCTTTCCATTAAAGGGACCAGAGCTGTTTTCCATGTGGGTGGGCGAATCGGAGCGAGCGGTGCGTGAGGTGTTCCGAAAGGCTCGACAGGTCGCACCAGCCATAGTTTTCTTCGATGAAATCGATGCCATTGGCGGGGAACGGGCAGATGGTGAGGGTTCCAGCTCTGGTGCATCCGTAAAGGAACGTGTTCTCACTCAGCTGCTAACCGAATTGGATGGCGTGGAGGCTCTCCAAAATGTTACCATAGTGGCGGCCACCAATCGTCCAGATATGATTGATAAAGCGCTGCTCCGTCCGGGCAGAATAGATCGAATTCTCTATGTAGGATTACCTAAAAGTGAAGCCCGTCGGGAGATCTTAAAGATCAAACTTAAAGCCATGCCAGTGTCTGAGGCAGTGGACATGGAAAAGTTAGTGCAGCTGACGGAGGGATACTCCGGTGCAGAAATCCAAGCTGTGTGCCATGAGGCTGCCTTGCGGGCCCTGGAGCAAAGCTTTGAAGCGGAAGAAGTTAAATGGGTGGATTTCGAACACGCCTTGAAGGCGGTGCCTCCACGGACCAGCCCGGAGCTGCTAAAGCTCTATGAAGATTACCTCAAACGAAAGTAGTTTCAATAGGCTATGATGATAATATTATAATTGTATGTATACTTCAAAGTTGATAAAAAGAACTTGAAACGAAAGATCTTGAGAAAGCCGACCATTACTTTTTATTAAACCATTGACCATGTTATTACCTCTCCAAAGTTATTTACTAGATCAGCCTTAAAATCAAACTAATGATTGTAAAATAAACCAGATTTGAGATATACTGTTCACGTTCGCATTTAGACATTACTGAATTTTTATTTAGTGTTCGTTTAAAGATTAGGCTAATAAGATAAGATGGCAAGTGCAGAGTTATCAGTAAACTTTGTTGGGCTATTTTTACCCTTTTCAAATTCAAGAGCATTATTTTCTCTTCTTCATGAATATTAAGAGGGAACCATTTGATCGCTGAGTCTTAAGCGAAATTCCAATTAATGCGTCACTCAATTGACATTAAATTGATATACAAACTCATGATATGTCTCCAAGTAAGACATTTGTTTTATGTTGGTGAAGCAATTTACTTTAGCTTACCTTGCAATCACTTAAATGGGGAAATAGGTTCAACAACATTTAGTATTATTTATAAACAAAAAATGTTTAAAATCTTGAACTTATTTTTTTCACTATTTTTGGTGCATTTATAAATGTTACAGGTTCTGGTTGAAATAACTAAAAATGAATTGAATTGATTTATTGGAATACTCCTAAAAAGATTTCACGGTCTTCTAAGGTCAAACAGTATTTGCCAAAAATATGTGACGTATAGAACAATGACTTTTGAATGTAATAAAAACATGCGTTTTTAGTTCTTATCAAAAAACGGAAGGTTTTAATTGTGCTTTGCAACAAACATATTTTTTGCAAATCACGACCTTAAGGTCAAACAGTAGGTCAAAAATATTTTTTCTTTAGAATTAAAATTCCTAAAAAAATATGTTCCATTTAAAAATTATCATTATTTATAACATTTAAAATATGATAACAGCGTAAGAGCATTATTTATAGCACTTGTTGTGTTTGGCTACTTTTGGTCATCAGTGTAGTCGCTTTGGCGCAGAGAGATCCGTAGACACTCCGCTCTTAATTTGCGCGATCAGTTGCCGGCTGGCGTTCGTCGCGTTGGTTACGACACTATTCAATTGGCGCAACATCTGTTGCCGGAGGAGATTCCATTCCAATAGCTGGTATCGCGATTTACGAAATGAAGAACTGGCTCAAGATCTCGCTGCTGCTGTGTGCACGTTTGGGTTTTTCCGGGAATTTCGACCCTCAGAGCCGTACGTCACGGAGTATCTGTCATCCGACTACGGCAATCTGACTACGGAGCAGATCTATCAGGATGTGTACCCCTTTGGAACGTACTCGGTGCTGGCCCAGCTGGTTATTGTATTCCTAATCACTGATCTGGTGAGGTATAAACCGGTTATCGTGCTATCGGCTCTGGCCGGGATTACCCTGTTTTCGCTGCTTATCTGGACGGAGACCGTGGGAATGTTGCAGGTGGCACAGATATTTTTCGGCACCTTTACAGCCGCTGAAGTGGCATACTACACCTATATGTACGCCAAGGTCAACAAGGAGCAGTATCAGATTGTCACGGGTCACACGAGAGCTGCCATCCTCAGCGGAAAATTTCTGGGTGGATTGTTTGCCCAGGTTTTGGTGTCCACCGATAGCATGAACTACCGGCAGTTGCACTACCTATCACTTACCACCCAGGTGATCTCTTTGGCTGTGTCCCTATTCCTACCTGGCGTTCCCCGGAGTCTCTACTTTTATGCCTCCTCCGATAAAAATCTCGCTCCAGGTGGCGAAATTACAGCACCTAAGTTCTCTTTCTCGAATGCCTGTCGACTTTTGTGGTACCACCTCGTCTCCTCCTATTCTAATCCAGTGGTGCTAAAGTGGAGTCTGTGGTGGGCCCTTGCCACGTGTGGGCAAATTCAAGTAAGTTCAGCTTTGAATATTTTAAAAGAGCAATGTAAGATAGTATCTGTGATCACCCCAGGTAATCTCGTACATCCAGTTCCTCTGGAAAGAAGTGGCACCCGATCACCTGAGCGTATATAATGGCGGAGTAGAGGCCGTAGCCACTCTGCTCGGAGCAATTGGAGCTATTCTTGCTGGCTTGCTGAACTCCAACAAGCGACGGGGTTCCTACATGTTGGGCATATCCATATGTGCCGGTATCTTGGGAGCCTTGCTTATCTACGCCGCCAAGACACACGAAATCTGGGTAGCCTATGTGAACTATGTGCTCTTCTGCGCCGTGTTCTTCTTCATCATCACAGTGGCAGGTGCCGTGGTGGCCGAGAATCTTGTGGAGGACAGCTTTGGATTGATATTTGGTATTAATACTCTAATGGGTTTGCTGCTGCAGACCATTTTGACTATTGTGGTGGTGGAGAAAGTTGGACTCGCTCTGGAGCCACGAGATCAGTACGTGGTCTATGGTAGTTACTTTATAGTTTTGGCTGGGATTTACATAATTGGGTCTGCCTTGGGGAAATTGTTCTGCAGAAATAGGAATTCAAGTGTGGGGAGTGTGGATCATTTAACGTAAGATAGTATAGGATTTGATACAAGTTTTATAGCTAAAACAAAATATTAAAAAAATTATAAGATATTATGTGCATGTTTGTAAATACAAAGTATTAAGAAACTACATAACATAAATTAAAATGAATGTTTAAATACACAAATCAATATGTTGAATTAAAGACGATGAAGAAGTCTAAACTGTTTAGCCAATTTAATAGCTTTCAATACCAGGAACTTGATTTCCATAAATGGAAAGCTATACTAGAAAATAATTTAATGGATATATAGAACTATTACCTCAAAGAAATCAAAGTCTTTAAATAAAGTATGATATAATTATTACCACTCATTGGAACATTTAATATTTTACCTAACACATTTATTAATATTTTTGTACTAAAAAAGCTTATTGCAAGAGCAGGTCCATCTCCTCGGCATTCGAGGACATGAGATCTCGCTCCAAGCTGGTGGTGGCTGTAGTGGCCTGATTCAGGAACAGATCGAAGTCGTAACCATCGTTCTGGGCCGCAATGGAGTCCTTTTGATTGCTAATGGTTTGCGGATTGGACAGCAGGTCGACATCGTATAGACCCAGTTCCTTGAGCAACGTTTCGTTTTCACTGGTGGATTGTGTGGCAGACGAATCAACGGATGCCTTGACCTCAACATTAATGATAGCCGCCGGCTGTTCCACGGCTTCAAAGCCACAATCGACTTGGGATGTTGTGGAATTGGGATGATTGCTTGCCTCGATTTCATCGTCGTCTAGTTCCTGCGGCTTTAGAGTACTTGACTTGTACTGGAAGTCTGTCTCCTTGAAATCCACTTCGATGGGAAACAGCGGCGGAAGGGAGTCCAGTCGATCCACTAAACTCTGGTGAAGTTCCGCCAAACTTTCCAGAAGGCTTCTTAACTGCTTGTTCAGATCCATAGCATGCTTGCACTCCAGCAGCTCCATCTTCTCAAGAACATCCGTGCGAAGTTTGGCGAATTTGCTTCGGGCATCTTGGCGACATCTCAGGATTAATCTGTACTCATAGTTGCCCGTTTCGACGCGATAAAGTGGCTCCTGGAGGGCAGCAAAGCCATGCTCCTCATCATCCATTTCTTTGACCTTCAGACAATACGACAGATATGTGAATTTGGCATCTGCGTATCGTCTAACAGTGAGCTTTGTGTCCGGGATGGCCTTGTTAAGATATGTTCCCAGATCGGCGAGCACAGGCTTTATCTGCTTGATGATGCTCAAGCCATCCTTCTCCAAGGTGCGATGGAATTCTCCAAACGTTCGAAACGCTTCCGAGGCTCTTTGCTGCGGTTCGTGGACAGAAATCTGTGTAAAGCAGTCCCCAAAGGACTTATATGTCTGCAGGAGATCGTAGTAGGCTTTCAACATTCGGCGGGCGTGCTCTACTAACCCCTTATACATCAGTTCAGTGCCCTCGAGCTCCTCCAATCGCTTCACCAGCGAATCATTGCACAGTATGGCCCGGGAGAGACCCAGTGTATCCGCCGTATTGCTTGATAAATTGTCCACAATCCGATGCTTCAACTTCTTCAGGATGATGTCCAATGTCTTGCCCTGTTCGGGATCAGCATGCAGCTTGTTGTAATGAACAACCACTTCGTCGGTGGCTGTCTGGATCATCTTGGCCACCTCCACTTTTGTCTTGCCCTTGACGCTCACCGAGTTCACCGCCAGCAGTTCATCACCGGATTGTAGGGATCCCTCCCTTGCGGCAGGCGTTCCATCGAAAATCTGAAGTATAAGGGAAGATTTTTGTACATTCTGGGAATCTATAGATATTTTGTTGGACAACAGATCGTTGAACAAATCTAGGAATCAAGTTTTTAAGCACTACAAACATTTATCCAAGCTAGTAGCAGTCTGTACTCAGTTTTCAAAATCATTCAAAGTATTAGTTTTCAACATCTAAAAAACATTTGGCTGACCAAACTATGACCATCGCCAAATGGTATAAATGGTCCGCAAAGGACTTTGAAGGTGAGCCCCAGAACAGACCAAAGCTGATTCCAGGATTCGATAGGCTGGATGACAGGCTGAGGTCGGTACTCCGAGAGCAAGACGCGCGAAAGAATTCACTTAAACGAAAACAGGCAGGTGGTGGTCAAAATCGGTTAAAATTCAAGAAAGCCAAAAGAACCAATAAACAGGTCCCTCGCGTATGGGACTACCAAAAAGTGTACACCGAGAAACGCAAAGATCTTAAAATCTTGGCTCACAACCAAAGAAAAGAATCCCAGTTCCGGAGTAGTCCTGTGCCCGATTTCCAGCGTTCGCATCAGCTTTTGGAAAAGAGGAAGATATATCTGAACTCTCTGCAAAAGGTAACAAAGCCGCGATGTCCTAGTAGCCTAGTTGCGCCCATCGAGGCTTTCCATAAACGAAAAAAGGAGGAAAGAGAACATAGTAAGATGTCCGACTTTATTCCCAAGATTAATCCAGGGTCTTCCATGGACTACTTAAACCGTCCGCCCTTCATCCCACAAGTCGAGTCCACCTATACCCGTACGAAACCTTTTCGTCTCCATACTTCTGAACGGGCTTTCAGCCGTCGACTGTATGACGAGAGGAAAAGGATGCGGATGGATCTCCAGATGGAGCAGAGGATCAACGACTGGTACAAGCAACAACGAGCAGAGTATATAAAGATCCGCAAAATGACCAATTTCAAGGCAACTGCAAATCCCTGGAGGCGGAGAAAGATTACCGCTGGGGAAGGGACCAAGTAAACATAGTTTAAAAGAAAGTTTCTAAAGAAAGTGAATTCCTTCCAAATCAACTTACTTTTGGTTGTAGTACAAAAATTTTGAATAAAGCAGTATTACATAAAATTCAATATTAATGAATAATGAATAATTAATGAATATTCCAATATGTATTTACAAAACTCACCTGAACAATATATAAACAGGGGCACATAGGCGCTCCACCCCCAATGCTAATTCCAATCAGGTTACTCTGATCCTTGGTTATAACGACGGCATTTGTGCTCACAGTCATTCCCCTGTATCAAAGTTTATAATAGAGTATGATCATTAATTTTACAAATTACCAAATAGATTCAAGCGTGAACTACGCGTGCTATATGATTATGAACATATATATATGTGGGTGATTTGATATCAATTTTCCATACGTACTCACATCGATCTGTGCAATTTTCTAATTAGCCATGTTACCAGTTCTAGCAAGGCCATTGGACTATATCAAATTTACCTACTGCTGCTGGGGGCTAAAACTGTTGATCGGGGCAGTTTATTCTAAGGCTTCGTGATAATATCGGTACTCCGAATGCCAAAGGACACCTCGAAGTCAATAAGTAAATATATTTCTGTTACTAGCTAGCCTAGCTATTAATAGTATTTTGTTAGATATAAGCAGCTAGATCTCTACACAGAAAACAAACTCAAATTCCTCCTTTTATGGTGGAATTAATACATTATAAATATGGTTAGTTCTAAATTGGTTGGTTTTTTATACAAAATACAAAGAAACAATACATCTTAAATTGATTAAATTTATAAAAACATAAAACATATTTATAACTAACTAATTGAAACCAATAAATGTTATATTTAACTTTATCAAGTTTAATTTAAAATAAATGAATAACTCTATGTAAAGAGCAACCTCAGTAAAATAATATTTAAACGATTCCGGGTCAACGGAGTTGACTTACAAACGGTCTAACTCATATTTCTGCCTATTGGCTGACTCGATTCCGAACTTGTCCCCGGATACGGAATCGGAGGAAAAGCCCGCCGGAGAGCAGAGCATAACGGTGGCCTCAAGGGGAGCGCCGGAGGGCTTATCTGGCTCTTCCGGCAGATCCTTGTGATGCTGGACAACCTGACCATTATCCCCATCCAACTGGATGAGCAGCGGTGTTGGCCTGATTCCAACAATATGTTTCAATTGTGACGATTATTGATTTTTAACAGGTACTTTTTGGCACATCGCAACAGATTGTTGTGCTCAAATAAAGCTGGCAGAGAGTTTTCGTTAATTGGTGACTTCCAATGGCTACTTACATTTTATCTTCCTCGAAAAAGAAGTCATCTTCCGTGTCCGTCAACATTTTGCGTGATTAAAAAATATATATTTGTTTATTTTGGCAACTTGAAGCTCCTTCAACTGTCATCGGCGATAGGTAACTGATTTGAAAACTATCGTATAAATGCATTGTGAATGGCAAACTCCAGGAGAAAATCGGAAATTCCCACGGAGTAACCATGACCACTTGTTGCCTAGGAAACGCTGAAGAAAAACATAAACAAAAGATGATGGACTGGGCCGAAGAACTCAAGATGACCATCAGAAAGGTGAAAAATAATGTTTAAATAGATGTTTACTAAAGATTGGATATATTTTGAACCCTAGACGACGGCCAGGAAGGGTCGTCGCTCCAAGAGTCGTGATGTGTTGAAGGAGGAGCCTGCACAGGTGGCTGCAGGCTCAAAGGATATTTCCATTGACATCACTCTGAATGTTCAGGCAGGAACCCCGCCCACAACTTCGGATACGGCCACTTCGTCCACGTACAACAATGAATTCGAATCGCATCGTCCACCCATTCGTCGTATTTCGGGGGGTTGGGCGGATTCTGGTCTAAAGGGATTAAAGTGGGTATAGTTAACTACTATGTAGGCTTATAATTGATTGCTCTATATTCTTATAGGTCAAAGAAGAATTCCTTCGATGAGTAAGATTTCTTTTTAAAAACTTTTATAAGACTTGATTTGTTAAAGACTTAATTATATATGTATTTTAGCGAACGTTTTAGGCAAACGAAGTCGGCGACAAACTCTATTCCAACGGATGACATTCCCGTGATCCCTGATATGGATGATGTTAAGGATGAAATTATGCTTAATGAGATAGTAGAACCGCCTACGTAAGTCTAAGATGAAATGTTTTATCCACTTTAACAAAGTACATATTTTTAGTATTGGCACATCTCGTTCTGCAGTTCTAAAGGAAGCCAATTCCGATTTGCTTTCTCAGTATGCCTTTTCAGCTGTGGACGGTTTTGATCTCTCAATCCTTACCGATTGCCTAGTTCCACAGGAGAGTCTCAATGAAAAGGATGAACTCTGGCAGTGGGACAAACTATTTACAGAAGTCACAGCTGAAATCCATTCGGATAAGGTGCCCAATATTGGCATGAAGATAGGACCTGATGTAGTGCCGCCCACACAATATTCTTAAGATATTTAACTTACAATTTCAGTGCAATACGAATACTCATTTTAAATTTTAAGGGAATACAAACATTTTCTTGCCTTAAAAGATCACAAAATATACATAACAGAGATACTCAATTTTAAATCTTTACAAGCTTTAAGGGATTTATTGGATGGCTCTGCCTACTCCATCAAAAGCCTTCTCCTTGTGATCTGCGGCATTGGCACGAGCTTCGTAATTACAAATGGTTACACCATGATAATGAGCTTCTGTGAACTCTCCTCGAAGGCCTGTATATAATTTATTGTTAGTGGTATCTTAACCAGAATTCTGGTGCACCTACCGATATAGTAAATGCGTGTATTGTCATCTCCAAAGTTGCTGGGGAAGTATAGTGAGAGGTGATGCACGGAGGAAAAGGTAACCACTTTGGGTGAGTACTCAATTTCTCCACGGGCATCGCGGGTTAACTGGAATTCTTGATCTGGTTTAGCTTTGGCATCGTCGAAGGTCATCTTGGGTCGGTTCTTAAAGCTGAATATATATAAAATATACATGTAGTTCTTAAAAACAATTTTAGAATAGAGTTCCTTACATTTTGACCATATTCGGATGAGATTCATCGTTGGCGCCACTTATGATGATTCCTTTGAGCTTAACGTTGCCGGTGAAGGGAATATTGAACAAAAGCTCCTCGTCCGCATCGCTCTGCACATATTTCGAGAGATCCCGGCGCTTCTCATAAGGCTTAAAGACACCTTTTCCTTGGCCATCCGTCTCCTCGTTCAAGCACTCTGTGTTGTCTAGGTCGATTTTCGTGTACAGACTGTACTCGATGCCCATTTCCAAAGCATGATCCACATCCGAGGCCTCATGACTGCATTCGCCATGATCATGTGAGTGTCCGTGCGGCATTATTTTAATTTAAAATTTAAGAAAAATCAAACGTAAATAAACCAGCCGAGTCACTATTAAGAATACGGTAACCCTAAACAACCATTCCCAAGATAACGATGACGTCGATAACGATGTTTTTAAGACCGCGGCATATTTCAACTCACCAAGTGCGGCCACACTAAATTCAGCACAAAATAAAATAATTTTACCCATTTTTAATCTGTGGTAATCGCTGTGAATTTAGTGTGGAGTATTTGTGTTTTGCTGAAAACTAAAACTTAACGTTTCAATGGCGCCCAAGGCAAAATCGGTTGGCATCAAGCCCACGGCGAAGGCTTTCAAAGACAAGTCGAAACCCACTGATGTGCGTTTGTCCAACATCCAGGCGGCAAAAGGTGAGAAATATGGAAAAATAACACAATTAAGGATATTTAAGAAATAAAATGTTTGACTAGACTCTATTTGTGGAGCTAGTAGTCAGGTAGATAACTTTTGGTGCCATGTTAGCCCAGAATTGCTAACCAAATGGTCAATGAAAATCGCAGTTGGGTGCCGGCTGTCTGGAAACTTCTTGGGCGGAAGAAGAAGAGCAAGCATTACTCATGTGATGAATGAAGCGAGGAAAATTTAAGGTTTCTAGTGCCCTTCTAGGGGGTAGTTAAGCCCATGTAAAAAAAGTTTATCTTGCTTAAATAAGAATACTTTCTTTTTATTAAAAAAAGTTAAAACAAAACACTGACAGAAATGTCTAGACCATCTGTCTGTTTATGTGCAGATTAGTCATACAATTTTAGCGCTTTCTGTATAAAACTAAACACATGTCGCATTACTCAGTCATGCTCGTGTGAACTTAAACAATTTAAGTTAAAATAAAGAGCTCAGGAATTTTACTTTAAACCAATATTTACCTATAAATGAACTTAATCTAAAAAAAATCTTCTTCTTTTAGCCGTTTCCGATGCCATTCGTACTAGCTTGGGCCCCCGCGGCATGGACAAGATGATCCAGGCAGGCAATGGCGAAGTGTCCATCACCAACGATGGAGCCACCATCTTGAAGCAGATGAACGTATTGCACCCGGCTGCCAAGATGTTGGTGGAGCTTTCCCGTGCTCAGGATGTTGCGGCTGGTGACGGCACCACTTCCGTGGTGGTTATTGCCGGAGCTCTGTTGGAAGCCTGCGAGAAGCTGCTGCAGAAGGGTCTGCATCCTACTGCCATTTCGGACTCGTTCCAGCGCTGCTCCAACAAGGCAGTGGAGATCCTTAAACAGATGTCCACGCCCATTGAGCTGAACGACCGCGAGACACTGATTAAGAGTGCCTCTACCTCGCTCAACTCCAAGGTGGTGTCCCAGCAGAGCAGCCTGCTGGCTCCAATTGCTGTGGATGCCGTGCTGAAGGTCACGGACCCCGGCAAGGAGACCTCTGTGGATCTCAAGAATATCAAGGTCATCTCCAGCCTCGGTGGTACCGTCGAAGACACCGAGTTGGTCGATGGCTTAGTTTTTACCTGCCGCTCTGCTGGATCCAATGCTCCCAAGCGCATCGAGAAGGCCAAGATTGGTCTCATCCAGTTCTGCATCTCGGCCCCCAAGACCGATGTGAGTAATAAATAATACTATAATATATGTTTTGGACTTGGGTAATAATATGAATGGTTTTAACTTACAGATGGATCACAATGTAATTGTGTCAGACTACGCTGCAATGGATCGTGTGCTAAAGGAGGAGCGTTCTTACATCCTTAACATTGTCAAGCAAATCAAGAAGTCTGGATGCAATGTCCTGCTGGTTCAGAAGTCTATCCTTGCGGTAGGTTCAGCTCACAGTTTTCCTTCAACTTTGTCCTCATTATTCCCTATTTTATACTTAGTGATGCTGTCTCTGACTTGGCTCAGCATTTCCTAGACAAGATCAAGTGTCTGGTTGTTAAGGATGTTGAACGCGAGGACATTGAGTTCGTGTGCAAAACTCTGCAATGCCGACCAATCGCCTCGCTGGATCACTTCACAGCCGAAAACCTGTCGAGTGCCGATTTGGTCGAGGAGGTTGCCAGTGGCACCAACAAGTTTGTAAAGATCACTGGTATCCAGAACAAGGGACGCACTGTCTCGATCATCTGCCGTGGTTCTAACAAGCTTGTGCTCGAAGAGGCTGCCCGCTCCCTGCACGATGCCCTCTGTGTGGTCCGATGCCTGGTGAAATTGCGCGCCCAGATTGTGGGCGGTGGAGCGCCTGAGATTGAGATGGCTCTGCAGTTGGCCGCATTGGCTCAAACTGTGGAGGGTGTGGATGCGTACTGCTTCCGGGCATTCGCTGATGCCCTGGAGGTCATTCCATCCACTCTGGCCGAGAACGCTGGCTTGAACCCCATTGCCACGGTCACCGAGCTGCGCAACCGCCACGCCCAGGGTGAGAAAACAGCTGGTATTAATGTGCGCAAGGGCGCCATCACAGACATTTACGCGGAGAACGTGGTGCAACCCCTGCTGGTCAGTATTTCGTCTATAACCCTGGCCACAGAGACGATTCGCTCGATCTTGAAGATCGACGATATTGTAAGTGTTATAATTAATTGTTGATTGATTTCATTGATTATTAATTACTATCTCATTTTCTTTGCAGGTTAACACCTTCAGTTAAGCAGTGTGATCCGCCTCTTTCGGTTGTCTGTCTCTGATCAAGATCAATCTTAAATCATTTTCATCTAACCCCTCACATCTATACCCATTATGCGATTAAGCATTAAATTTTGAATAAAATTCACATATACACTACGCCTTACCAGCTTAATATGTATTTAAAAAATCGAAAACTAAAAGATTAAATACTTTGCTAACACAACCCAAAAGTTATCATGTTTTGAATTATGAAGACCTGGAGTTGTCAAATGTTTGTTTAAATATTTCGAAATATTTATTTTTAGCTTTGTATTACAGCCTCGCCTTTTTGTTTTGTTAGCTGATTATTTTATTTCACCCTGAAAGTAGGTTTGGAAAAGCTTATTTTCATACTCCTACTCCAAATATTGTTACGAAATAGGAAAGTATGAAGCAACTCCTTTGGTTTAAGGACAACCGAAATGATTATCAACTAACCGTATCCTTATTTAATGTGCGAACTCATTTTTCTCGCTTTCAACCACCACCTTGGGTTTCAAAGGGTTCGCTGAACCCCATCCATATCTCGGCCCCGCCCCAAGCATCCACTCCGGTTCGTTTTTGGGCTCCTTTTTGTCCTGGGCGTGTAAATAAAAATCACTTGATGCGATTTTTATGATGTGCGTTAAATGATTAAACCACTTGAACTGGTTTCAAATTGTCAAAAAAGCTGGCATGGCAGCGGGTTGGGTTCTGAAAGGGTTTTTATCCTTTTGTTTTCTTAGCCCCATTTTGGGAACTTAATGCGGGTTGGGTTTACGCTTGGGCATGATTAGATGGGGACTATCTCTCGTGTCCGGAACTTTCGGCGCGTGTAAGTTAATTAAATGTGTAAACATGTCAAAGGGATCAAGTTTTCCAGCCCACTATCTCCCACCACCCATCTGGCCGAGATGGTGTTGATTTCGGATCACGCCTTTGATTGGCTTTGATTTTTGAGCTTCCACGAAAAAAGCTACTCTGCTAATTGGTTGGTGGAAAATTCTAAGGGTAGGTTTTCCATCATCAACTTTCAGGGGTCGCATGCAAATTTTTCATTTTAAAGTCTATTTCTTTAGCGGCCATTTGTGTGGGTTTTCCATTTTGCTGTGATGAGGGTGGAAAATTAAATCAGATGCAACCATTTTTTGTTAGTTGCTTTGTCCTTATGGGAAAGGGTTTTATAAATATTCTTTACAATTTTGTATATTAAGTCCTTCCTGTTTATAATAATAAATAAATAATAATAAGTTACTTAAGGAACTTTTTGTATTGAAGGGTACTAAAAATCTTCGGTTAAAGCAGCTTCCATTGGTGTTTATTTTATTTTTTTGCTACATTTTTTTAGTTGTTTGCTCGACTGTCTTGAGGCATTGTCGTTCACGTCCTCGTTCCCATTTGTTTCTTGTGCAAATATTGGATTTGCGCTTTTTTTCCTAAGCTATTTGCCAGAGCCAGTGGCCCACACTTTTGAAACTTTTCATTTCGGGGTTTTTCCTTTGTTTCGCCTGTTTGCTTAATTTTTGTATGCGATTTTCTTCATCTACTTTTTGCTCATTTCATATTTTCATTGTAATTCAATTGTGTTGCCCCCGCTCCTGCTGTTGTTTTTTTTTGTCCAAATGTTTGCACAAGTCTTATGTTCTCCAGTCGGGCGCAAAAAGGGGTGTGTCCTCGTTGTCCTTACTTTCCTTTACTTTTTGCTAGACGAATTGAAATTCAAAGCACCAAATTGTCAGCCAGTCACGCAGAAATTTAACATATGTCCGCCATATAATTTGCCAGCACTTTTTATTTCACCAAACTCATCTGAAATTACCAACGTCTGCTATCTCACATCTTGAGTTTTTAACAAGTTGAAGGGGAAAATGGCAATTTAAAAGAAATAAATAAAATTGAAATATATTATTTTTAAGTTTTATCAATAAATTGTAAAATTATATAAAAAGTTAACAGAGATAAATGAGGCAGTATAGCTTAAAAATGTTGGTTTCTAATAAATATCCAAACATCATCATTAAACATCACAATTTATAAACAACTACCAAACAGTATTTATTTAATATCTTTAACATTTAGTATAGCTGTTTAACAAAACAATTTCATCTAGTTCATGCCACTCATGGAAAAGCTATACAAGAAAAGAAATGCCATAGCAAAAGCATAAAGAAAACTTAATTTTCGTTAGTCCTGCCAAGTGGCCAGTGATTAATGATGGCAGGACCACGACAATATTATGAAAACGCATTCGAAAATTTCATTAAATTGTTATAAATGAAGCGGGTGAAAGCAGAAATGAAACATTTCTCTCGGAGAGAAAATTCAATTTGCAAATGCAGCAAATGTTTGCCAGTCCACCGAAAAGAAATCTATCAAAAGAAAAACTTGAATGAAATCTCGACCGGACGATCTGCAACCACCGGGGAAACCCACTGAATAGCCTACGGGGCTTATCAACCCATTTTGACCAGTTCCGACTTACGGCACTTTGAATATGACCAATGCAATTGAAATTTCCCCTATCGAAAATCGAAATAGCTCAAAGCCATTTGGCGTCCGTTTCCAATCTTTTTTTTTCGGTTTTCCTTGGTTTAGTTTGGTTATTTGAAATGGACAGACGTCGTCTGCACTGGATTGATAACATTCAAAGAGTCCCAGAGACCCCCAAGCAGAGATTCGAGTGCTCGCCAATTAAGTGTGAGTGCCGAGCATCGATGGGCTTTTCCTTTTGGCCTCCGTTTGATGTGTGCTCGAGTGTTTTTGTGTGTGTGGGCGAATGGCCTGAAAACTAAATAGGGTAAGTATCCTGGTCGAGATTTCAATTCTGGACAGATTAAAAATTTATTTGCAACTCTGGACAGCTGCGGGCTAGTATATCGTCAAGTTTTAATCGAATGAGAATGAGGTTTATGTTTGGTTTGAATGTCTGCTTGAAGTTTGCAAACATATTCAAAAAATAAAAAATGATAAGATGTAGGTATAAAAATTGTTTTAATCATTATGAAATATTGTTAGGACAGGGATAAACCTTTCTAAGCTTCAACTATATTTTTAAAGTATAAAAAATTCATTATTCTGAGAGATGTTTTCACATTATATTATTATATACGAGTATTTTATAAATATTTTAAATCTTATTATATTTCACAATTATCCTGGTTCAGTTCTTAAAACATGAGTCTCCTTTAATAACCTAACAACTTTCAAATATATCCTACACATATGTTATTTTTTCCTTTTCCTTAAACCTTCATTTACCTAATTTATTGGCACACTTCCATTAAGATATCTCCATCAAGGACTTGACTTGCTTAAGCGATTTCAAAAGGATACAACTGGGACAACATAAAATACTTCCACTGCCCACATTCAAGAACAGAAAACAGCAAACAAGAGGAACTAGAACCAGAACAAGACCAAAATCAACCACCGGAGCGAGGACCATATGACATAACTATGTGTGAATTGATGGCATGAACCCTTTCCCCTTCCCCAACTCTTATCATTTTTTAGAGATTCGTGCCCTAAACGAATCACAGCCCGGCAAACTTTTCAAAGGGAAGGCAAGAAGAGGGAATCCAGGATGAGGGTTTGGAGTTGGGGGTTGCTAAAAAAGGATTTACACGCTTGCAGCGATATACAAATAAGGGTTTCTGTCTGAGCTGGGCTGGGCTACCATATTGACTGTCGCCGGGCCCAAAAAAAGATGAAGTGATTTCTTATCCAACAAATCCACACTCGACATGAAAAAGGGGTTGCTGGTTTGGGTCCTTCGCATCCTTTCTGGCTTGGCCCGCGTTTGCCAGGAAGTTTATTAAAAAATGGTTGTGTTTGCCTTTGTCGCGTGGCTGGCAAACGCTTTTGGAACAGGCCAAGGAAATCAGTTAACTAAATATCTCGTTCAATATTTATTTAGGTTGTGCCTAATGAGATTCGAGTGGGTTTGTAGAAGGCATATGCCAGCCAATGAACTTAAAGTATCGGCTAATTAAATAATAAGCTAAGATTATTGAAAAGTATGGACTTTGTTTTTATATCTTCGCATTCCTGAAAGTCCCAACCAAAAATAAATAAACATTTTAATTTTTTATAAATTATTTTATAGGAATAATTTTATTGAAATTTTTGGGATGTTAAGATCTAAGTGTGTTCAAGATCAATTTACAATTGGACATCGTACAACAACATCGGTATACATATAGATACACATCTAAGTCAATACACATTAAATACAACTAGGACAATTGATTTGTGGCATAGTGGATATAGGACACAACAGATATATGGCATTCTTGGGGGGATAGTTAGAACTAGGAACTCTATATGCATACAGTTACGAATAGGTAGTGTAGTGGAACTATATGTACTTATAAATTCGTAATGGATTTTCTGATACGACTGGCTATCACCTAGTTTACTAAATACATCCATGGCATTGTTTGCATTTGATATGGAGTGTGTGGCATGTGGAATGTTGTGGAAGAATTTGGAGTATAAGCTGACTATGTACAAGGTTGGTTTTTGAGTCCGGTCTTCCCTTATTCCCCAGAACTGATGGAGCTGCCACAGAAGGAGCCCGAACCAGCCTCCAGTTGCATGTGGGACATGTTAAGAGCCTGAGGTGGATAGCCAAAGGCATGACTGCTCAAGGGAGTGCCCGTCGGACTGTCCAGATCCAGCGAGGGATTAATGCGCTTCTCCTTTTGCCGGCGATTGCAGAACCACACTCGGATTACTTCCTTGTCCATGTTCAAACGCTCGGACAGCTGACTGATCTCCTCCGACGTGGGCTTGCAGTTCATCAGGAAGGCCTTTTCGAGAGTGGTTCGCACTGTGGTTTCGATGGAGGTGCGCTTCTTGCGACGGCGTCCCAGGATGCTCTCCGGTGTGCTGCTCAAGCTGCTGGTCATCGTGTTGATGTTGAACACTCCACCGCCCGACTTAGCCACACTGCTGTCCGCGTCCTCCAACCACTTCTGGAGCAGCGGCTTCAGCTTGCACATGTTCTTGAAGCTCAGGTTGAGGGCCTCGAAGCGGGAAATGGTGGTCTGCGAGAAGTCATTACCATAAAGTTTGCCCATGGCCAGACCCACATCTCCTTGGGTGAATCCCAGTTTGATCCGACGTTGCTTGAAGGTCTTGGCGAACTGCTCCAGTTCCTCCAGATCGGTGGTTTCTTCGGGTGACTGCTCCAGTTTGGCCATTGCAGATGCAACAGTGAGACCACTCGATGGTTTTGGGGTGCTCTGCTGCTGGAGTGGCTGCTGCTGCTGCATGCTGGGCGTATTTGGAGTCATTACGGCACTACTTAATCCCAGAGAATTGGCAGACATCGAATTTGGTGGAGTTCGCTGCTGGGACTTGCTGTGCCTAGGAACCGGACTCAGGGAGGGACTTCTAAGAGGTGACTTTGTCAAGGGAGTGGAGTAACTGGGCAGGGGATCCTCCCTTTGCTGCTGCTTAATCTGCTGCAAGGCCTGAAATTGAGCCAACGCTTGCAGGGAATTCTGGAGCAGGAACTGGGTGGCCAGGTTGGGATTGGGAAAAGCCTCTGGAGCCAATTGGCGAACCATTTCAATGTAACTATGCAGCTGCATTTGCATTGCCTGATGCATATCCTCTGGTGCAAATCCCAAAGGCTGTGGCGGAATGGCACTGGCTATTGTCTCCTCCTCTTCTTCATCTTTCAGCTGATTTTCCGCCAATCTTTTGGGGGGCGGTGCCAAGTCAAGGACCTCGTTTTCCAGCTCTGGGTCCAGTTCCCTAGCCTGGCGTTTGCTGCTCAGATTCTGCGGCATCTCGCAGTAGTCGCCTAGCTCCAGTTCCTCCTCTTCCTTAAAGCTCTTTTCACAGTCTGCAAGAAAAAGAAAAGAGATATTTTTATAGTAGATGATTGTGGGTAGTTTGCTTTTCAATTTTCCAACTCAATGAAGTTCAAGTAGCCGGACTGGTCAACGCACGCGTAGCATAATTTGATTTTAACCAAAAGACTCTGAAAGTTTTTCAATATTTCTGCAGCTATTTATGAGGGTATTCAGGGGGCTTGACGGATATGACTTGAAGTTTGATTTTAATAATAGAATAATGTTATAGTAATCAATGTTCCAAGGTTCATATGAAAGAAAACAAAATCTTTAACCATATTAATGTTGCTTTGTGTTTTACATGTTAAAATGTTTTATCCGTTCCATTTTTAACAAACGAAATTTATTCTATTTTTTATTCCTCTTAATGCCTTTAAACATGCCTTTACCAAGTGTATTCACTGATCGACTTTCTGCAAACATTTTCCTTTCAGCCTTTTTAAGGCAAATTTTATTCAATCTTCCAATTGAATGCCCATCCTTTTTTCGCTATCCTGTCCAATGTCTGCGTCCTGCGGTTAGCTACGATAGACGCTCAAGCGGAAGGGTTCGCCTTTGTGGCCTCCACTACCCCCATCAACCATTTGCCTCCCCCAACATCCTTGTTGAAAACCCAATCATGCATAATAATTGAAAAATAGCCATACATCAGAGGCTTCGGCGAAGTCAAACAGGAAGCTTCCTTCTTTGTCTAAGATAAATGCGCAGTAGAGCAACGTAAGGAGATCGGATTTCATAATTTTTGTAAAAGAAAATTATTGATTTTGAGGGGAAATATTATAATGAAATAGGAACATCCGACAGGAATCATAGATCTTTGTTTTAAAGAGTTCTATCTTGAGCAAAAAAGTAGGTTACAAATCTGTACAGCTGATCAAACTTTTCCAGCCTTATCAACTAAAAAATCAACTTTCAAACATTTGTAAAAAATGTAAAAAATTTAGCGCTTTAAACCGATTTAAAAATAAAGAGAATTGATAGTCTTAAGCGGATTCAACCCCATGTTAAACTCGATTCACCGGATTATGAAATGTTTCAAAAAAATATATATATATTTCCAATGCGGGCGTACGAACTTTGCTAATAAATTGCATGTGGGCAGCTGTTTTTATGACTCCCTTTATGTAGAACGACGAAAGTTGAATGCGCCGTAATAAAATTAGCCATTGGAAACGCATTGGGAACCAGTCAGAAATGAAAATCATCCAAGGGTTATCCATAGTCAAAAATTTGTCACCCTTTTTGGTTCGATTTTTCAACCCCCTTTCGAATTTAAAATTCGTTACAATTTCGAATGCACGAGTTGCGGATTAGAGCAAAATCAGAATGCAACTTGCAATTGGATGGAGAACAAGACCAGCTAAAGGAAAGGGTTCCAAGTTGCATTATTTGGTTTCTCAAAATGAAAAAATAGGAGGAAAGTCAAGAAGGCTCTGGAGCAAGTTCTAAGCCAAGGCAAGAAACATTGTTTGTGATCCTTTGTGAAGTGGAATGCGCCTGCAGCGAGCCATCCACAATCCTCGAGCCTCGATTTTCCGAAACCCAAAACCAGGTGATGCCGCTTTGTCTCTATCCCGGGGCAGATGTGTTGTCCTGCTGATGAGGACTACATGGTGAATGTGAGTTCCTAGTCCTGCCACAATGGCAATGTGTGAATGTTTCCACTGACAAATGAAGTGTTGCCTCTATTTGAAACTCTGAATTCTGTGTACTCCTTTTTTCTGCAGTTTTTAGGGGTTGAATTTGTCCCTAAAGTAAAGTGCGTTTTCGATTTATGGGAAAGATATAGCCAGATATATAGAGAGTGCACTGAGAGAGTTTTTGGCGATAGAGGGGACTAGTCTGGCAATCCAATTATTCTAGCATATCTCATGCAGTTTATCTACATACGAGTTAAGCTAAAAACCACTTTCACAAATGAGTGTGGATTTTAAAAGGTCTTGGGATTGCAAAAATTCTGTAAAATATTTTGCTAGAAATTTATGAGTCTGTCCTCGATTTAAGAAATAAATCAATTACCAAAGCTTATTTCTTACTTAGTATTCATTTTAAAACCCTTTTAAGTTATGGAGCTAATTTCCCTCCTTAACCAAATTAAAGCTTATTACTACGCTCATTTTGCCAAGCTTAACCCTTAGCACTTTCATTACCTCCATTTACCCCTTCATTAAATCTCGTCACGCCCATCGACTCCCTCCAACTTCTTTGCATGCCACACAAAACGCCCTCGAAACGCCTTCTGAATGAACTTTTTTCAAAATACAAAAAAGAGCACCCAATCAGAACCGCTGATTATAATATCCTTAACGCGCTTCCTCTCCCGAATTACCCCTTAAACATTCCCAGAGCCTCAATTAACTTCACGCAACCTAATCCTTTCAATTTGAATACCTAAACGAGGGGAGATCGTTCAACAAGTGGTACTTTAAAAAATGAGGTGGCAAGGGTAACCCTTCGCTGAGGGTTACCCCTTCAATCGACTTCACACCTCGGCGCTATTCAAATGATATGTTAAACAGGGTTGAGCGGGATCAACAGCTTGCCTTTTTTTGTGTGCGATGCTAATGTTACGGCACTTGAGTTTTTTAGCGGTTGAAGCAACCCTTTTTTGTGAATAAAGAGTTTCAAGCCCCTCCCAACCGTATTATTTTGACAACATTTGAATATGCATAATGGCCTGAAGAGAGGGGTGAGAGAGAGAGGGGTTAGGCACCCTTAGCTCGATTGACTCGCCTAATTTGTGTAAACCAATAAAAATGCAAGTTTAATTGTCAACTACTATCGGATGGCATTGGTAACCCTGTTAATGCTCGGCATTTATATTCAAATGGGGTGGATTTCCCTTGCATGTTTTTGCATAGATTAGCTGCACTTCGTTAGGGGTTGGGCTGGCCTTGGTTCCTGGGGTCCTTACATAATTGCTCAGCCCATCATTTAAATGCGCCAAAGCCGAAATTTACATTTTGACAAATTGTTATTTCTGTTTGTTTGCGAACAGAAGAGGGTCGTGTTAGGGTCATCCTGGGCAGGGTGGAGGTGGAGGTCAAAAGAGCATATAGGGGTCTCAAAAGGATGATCTCTAGTTTAAGCTTGTTTCCCTGTGCAGGGTTGTTTTCTGGGGAGGTTGTTGGTGGGGGTGTGGAAAAAGAGATTTTGGGTGGCATTCTATGGAAATGGTTGAAAAGGGATTTTACTTTAAGTTTAAATCAATTTTGACAATGGAACGCTATAAAATACTATTAAAAACAATTATTTATAACTTTTTTTTAATTCTAAAATTTAAAATTAGTATTATTCTAAATATTTTCTGTTAAAGGTTGTCAAGCGAAAACGTCAGGAAAAACTGTTTGCTTTTCAACTACAAATAAGGAAGCTAAACATCTTTCTATATGCCCTTCGTCCTCGAATTTCCTATTGCCAACCCAAAGGCTTCTGCCTCATTCCCAGTCACACTCTGGTCACGTGCTGGTTCCTCAACAGCACCTATAAATATTATAGGTGCCCTAACCTAATGCCTCATTACCAATAACAGAGCCAGAAACTCCAGTCCTTGGCGGCACTTCTGAGTTACTACCTAAGCCAAACCCTAAAATAAACCCAATGTGGATGGATAGGGGATGGATGCAGTGATGGAGAGGGGTGCGTGGCTTATTGCATATTGCAAAAAAAAAAAAGCGAGGAATACTGAAAACTATAAAAATTGTCTGTCGTGTGAGTAATCAATTTAGCCACAAAGTAGCCACGTTCCGACACGAGACCGGGAGCAGGATAAAAAGGACATGTCGGCTGAATGCTGGCCAAGGATTAGCCATATTATAGATGTATATCTATATTTATATATATTTACCTGATAGCGAGCGCAGCGGTGAAGGCGGTGTGGGTGAGTTGGACATGTGCCGCATAACTGCAAAAAACAAACGAAAAACATATTTTTAAATTTTTAATAATGCTTGGACATGGTCAACTTAAATGCAAATGACACGTACTCCTGACTCAAGAAAGATACGAGTGTGGACAGGGTGTGGAGATGGTGTCTCAGTGTCGGGGTGTTTTCATTTCATGTCTGGCTCGTAAAATGTCCATTAGGAATTCGGACATAATACACTTCTTATGGCGTATATAACATGCAAAAATGTTTCCAGCTTTGGGCTGAGTGCTCGCTGGTGTAAAGTTTTTAAGAGTCAATTTCCGAGTGCAAATGGCTGGCATAAAGTAGTTTTCACACTTTTTTTATAGGCAAAGAAAAATGCACTGAAAATTTTTGTAGATTTGTGTTTTGACTGCTCTAAAAGAAAGTTCATATATATAATGTTTTTTATTTGAATAAATTCCTCCTACTTAAGCTGCAAAATCCCAAAAACTGTCCAAAAACTTCGCCCTAAAATCCTGACCATCTTTCATCCATTTACCACTGTCCTCCCTCAGCTCTCCTTTTTTTGTGCCATTTGGTTTTTTGTTTTGCAAAGTAGATATTAAATTTATAGCTCCCCGGGGCGTAAAGCAAAGTAGTATCCTTGCCCGAGAAGGACAACGGGCAGTACAGAAAAAAGTAACATATTTTTACGACAATATATTGTTGTGCGGACGCTGTGACTTGGGGAATCCTTGTGCATAATGTCCAGTGCAGGACAATATAAATATACAGATTACCCATTGGCCATTGGGATGGCGTTGTCCTTGTGGTTGGGTAATGGTTTTTGTCCGATGGGATTGGGGTCCGGCTTAGGTGGAGTCGGAGGCTGGTTGACCTCACACCTCATTTGTTGGCAGGATAACAAGTGGTATTAGTCAAAGGATCTTTGGGATTTTAGGTGTGCACATGATCTGCATGTTAGAATATGTTTCCCTTTTTTTACCCGCACAACACACCTTTGGCTTAAATGTAATTACACAAAATTTGCCTTTTGTGGCTAATTTGGTTTCTTTTTCTTTGTTCCACCCAAAAAATTACCTATATCCCAGGCTGGGAAACAGTTTTCCCCTAAAAAACGAAGAAAAAATGCCAAGAATTAGGAGACAAAATAAACGTTTCCTTTTTCTTTGTTGCCATGCAAAATACCCTTAGGAAAAAAAAGACAACGTCTTGGACACAGGTAAAAAGGACACTGCCAGGATGCAAATGCAAACAGAAGAAATCTAAAAACTCCGATCACACGCTCGCACAGTGGGACACTCAAGGACAGCTGCAGCCCAAAAACGACACCGTCAGCAGCAGGACATCGCATCAAATCTATTGCAAAACGCCATGAAATCATCCATCTGATAGTGAAATTGTATGTGCCTCTTCTATATATAGTCTATTCCATCTGATCTGGACCCTGCCTGCCCGGGATAATGTGTGGGCGTGTAATCATCATCGTTGACCTTTGTCTAAGTTGGTTCCTTTCTTTGGTCCTTTTTAAAACAAATTTATTGCCCGAGAAAGTGAAAAGTTTTGGTAACAGGTATAGGGAAATATAAATCAGGTTAGGATTTGGGTTTGATTCGGTAGGCTGTGTTGGTTGGTTTATATTAATTTGTACTTTCTTAAGATATCATAAATTTGACTTTTTTCATATTCATCCAAATATTTGAAAATATATTTAAAACTTAATTATTCCGATAATAAATAATGAAAGTTCCATTCAATATTCCAAAATGTTCACTTATATCCCTCGGCACCTGACAACCCTGAGCAAAGTTATCGAAAAGCTTCCTTGACAGGTTGTGGGGTGGTAACCCTGAGGTAACTCACATGTGTGTGCCGCTGTTGTTGCATTTTCCTGATGGCAAACTTTTATTGGGTTTGCTTTCCACATTCGCCGACTGTTGTGTTGCATTTGTGTTTGTGTTATTTGTTGCTGTTGCATCCCAAAGACGCTGTTGTTGTTGCTGTAGCACCATCATATTTATAGTTTTCTTAGTTTTTAATGTTTTTAGGTTAAGATATTTGAATAAGCACTTAAACATTCACTAGGAAGAAAGTCTACGAGATCTTATTCTTCCGTTCTGTTCTCGATATTTGGTATAGTTTTTTTTAAGAACTCTAAACGAGAGAACCGGACCGATTGGCTTCAACTTCTTCAGTCGAATGCAACTTAGAAACTGAATTGTGGAATCGTACTTTGCTGCATTCTCTGCTATGTGCATGCTATCTCTCGCTCGCACTCGCTGCCCTCTCTTTTTTCTCTCTCTCTCCTGGCTGTTAGTTTATGTGTGTGTGTGATATGCTTTATGATTTGCAGCACAGTAGTTTTCCTCATTTCCTCTCCGCTCTCCGCTTTCCATATACTCTCTCACTCGCTCATTTCCCTCATACAATCAACCCCTGCACCGTTAGCCGAAGTTCAATGTATGCGTGTGTGGAACGTATCCTTTGTCGCCTGCATTCTGATCAGAATATTCCTTGGACTCCATTGTTGCCCTCTCTCCTGCATTTTCACATTTTCCTGCATTTCCACATTTTCCTGCATTAGCATAGGCCACAAGTTGACTTCTCCTGCGAAATGGGTGTGGCCTATGTACGAGTATTATGCATTTTCCGACTTTCTGCGCAGTATGCAGCATTTCTTTGCATACCTAGCATTTTCCTCCCAGTTGCAAGTAAATCATAATTAAGTGGTGGAAGGTATCGTCTGGTTTCTATATACTAGCTGGGTTATACAATTTTATATAAAACGGATTGAATGGTTGGGTTTTGGGGGTACTTTAGCTTTTATTTCGACACCTTGTTGTTACTAAATGACGGCGATACATTCATGTTCTTGAATTTGTTCTCATAAATAGTGATTTTTGGCACAGAAACTGTCTAATACTTTATTCTAAAAACTAACTAAATTGTGAAACTTTTAATTTGTTTAAGATTTTTCTGAAATTTATATAGTTTACACCTGAGTTAAAAGAAACCTTCATTAAGCTTTCCATTTTTTACAATAAAACGGTTATTTTAAGAGTAATATCTAAATATTTTGAAAATATTTCGTATATATCAAATTTTTTAAATTTGAGATATAAAAATGTCTAAAAGCAATCGAAAACCGTCGAGAGTTAAAATAAACACTCACTAATTGTATTGCATTCTTTTTTGTTATTCCATGGCAGCGTTTTCTGAGATCCTGCCATCCTGAAATCCCGCCATCCAAACCACCCATCAACTTGAGCATTTCGGTGTGATTATATATACACAAAACTCATTCATATAAACATCAGTGCAGCCGTTGAACCGAGACTTGGTCGAGTAATTACAACAAGTGTTGTTGTTGCTCTCTCGCTTGCTCACTATTCCTGTTCCTTTTTATTCGCCCACCTACCAACCAACCACCCACACACAAAAACACAAGCGTACTGCGATTTTCCTTTCTTTTTATTTTGAGAAGGAAAAGCAAAGGAAAGGACCTTTTGCAGCCCTGGTGACAGCGCATACATTTTATGATTATGACTGTGACTGCACTTGCCTTTGCTTTCTTTTTTCTGTTTTTGCTCAAGTTTGTGGGAGTTGCAGAAGAAAATTCTTTCTTTCTTGAGGGAAATTCATTCCGTTTTCCTCTGGCTGACTTGGGCCCATTTCCCGTTTCGTCCCAACCATTTTAATTAAAACTGCAAAATTAATGTTTTCGCCTTCAGGACTCGATTTCCTCTTCGCTCCAAAGACGAAAACAATTAAAAAATGTTGAAGTCACCAATAAAAGCAAAAGAAATATAAAATAATATGACTTAAATAAATACATAACTTGTTAATTTAATAAAATTCTATTTTCTTTGAGATTATTTTCATTTTTGTATAATATTGTGGAATAAATAATAATACAAAAATTAGTATTTTTAACAAACTAATGGAGAGTTAACTTTCAACTTTATTTCCATAATAAATTTTCTTTTTATTCTTAAATAATAATTTTACTTTGCCTTTAAGTGTCAAATTGATTTAAGAACTAAAGGAAAACCCAGGAAAATCAATAGCAATCGTTCGTTTTTCCCCCAAACTAATTTCAATAGTTATCCTTTTTGGTCCTGGAGTTGTTGTTGCTGCCGCTGCTGCTGATTAAACTTGTCACTGAGAGACAAAAGATAAACAGTTCCTCACTTTGGATAGTTTTCCCTGTGTGCTTGCTGGGCGGTGTCTAGGCAATTTGATTATTTGCCAGGAGCAGACGGCACAGACAGGACGGCCAGGACATCACTGGACACACCAGACAGGACCAAAAAATAAAGGGGGACCAGCACACATGTGCATAGCAACATAGAAGTTTTTGGGCATTGAAATTAATCAAGAAAATAAACGCTTGGCAGCATCGCCGGAAAATCAAGAGGAAAATGGGGAGTGTTGGGTGGTAACCACACATAGACACACACACTTTGCATGACGAAAACAGACGACGGGACAAGGACAAGGACATCGTCGATGGAGGTGGAGGTGGGAGCACTAACCCGGAACCAAACAATGTCGGGTGGTTGTGAAAACTCCGGCATTTCCCTGTCGCTTCTCGTTCTGCCATCGCTGTTGTTGCAACGCATTAAAATGACATACCAATTTGCGTTAAGCAAATAAGACGAGACTAGCATTTGGTCCTCAAGTTGTTGGTTGTACATTCGTATGGGGGAAAATGCTGGGTTAAGCGGTTGGGGGCAGTAGTTTTAGTTGGGGTTCATATCTCATGCCCGTTGGGTGGTTTCTGCATGGATTTTATGGCCTTCCATTTGCGTTATAGTAAAAGAATTAAGGCGCAGTTTGATTCAGGAAAATTTATGAGAAAAATATTTATATTGGAAGCTCAATTTTATGGGTCATTCTTAAGATTTATCTAAATTTAGTTTATAATTAAATTAGGTGAGTTACATATTTGTAAGACTTGCAAAGATATAAAAAAAGTTTTTTAAAAATGGTTCAAAAGTTGACTCTTAAATTTAAATTGCAAATTTTGAATATTAAGGGCTTTTCAAATTTAAAATTAAAAAAGTTTTTATCTTTTAAAATAAATATGTTCTAAGCCTTACCATATTTTAAAATGTATTTTCCCAAAAAAAGTATAATCGAAAATTTTTGAAATTCGCGAAATTTGAAGAGTCACCTTACTTTTTGAACACACCTCGTATGTTCTAAGCCACAAACATTTATTTTACCAAAAAGTAATGAAAAATTTTTTTTCTCAACAAAAACCCATCTAACGGTTTTCTTGTATAACATTACGTTTTCTATACCCAAAAATGGGTTAAAAAACAGGCACATAAATCAATAATTTCTAAGCCCAAGAAAATAGTGAGAAAATTTTGCGAAAATTCCGTTAGATATCCCGTACTTAATCAGAGTCCTGGCACCCAAAAAAAAAAAAGTAAAAAAGGAACCGCAATTTTTCGTGCCTTTTTCTCACCCTCCCTGAAGACACAAAAATCGCACAAAAAATCACCCAAAAAATTGGCCTTTGTTCCATTTGAATTTCTTTCAATTTCGAGCTATTTTTACCTTAAAAAATTACGCATTATTGGGGTACATTCACCCTTAGGTAGCCGAATAGGTCAAGGGGTTGTTACCCCTCGTGAGCTGCGTTTACCTTAGAGCTAAGCCGTGGAAGATCTCGGGTAATCCATGACAGTGATCCTCAATTTTTACCCTTGAGTCTCTGCCGTTTTCTTTGGTTTTCTGTCCCAAAAAACGGCGCGCAATTTTCTTCGGCATTGTGAGGGCAAAAAATTGTGAAGAAAATTCTTTATTTTTTGTTGAAATATCTTCTCCGAAGGGTTGCAGCGCCGATTGACAGCGATTTTCTGTGGCAGATTGCCGCTGGGCAAGTCGAAATCAATAAACGTTAATAAATAATCCAAGAAGGAAGGAAGATGCGGCGCTACGAATGCGGAAGTAAAGGGACATTTAGAGGCTGCTTTGTCCTCATCCTCTATTGATTTCCGCTGCTGAGGTTTCCTCATCGATTTGCACTCGCTTTAATCGGGTTCCCTTTTTTCACTATTTTGGCGCGCTATTTTTTGTGGGTTTTTGTACTATGTTTTTTGGTTCAGCAGATGGAAAGAGTTGAAAAGTTTTGGAGGGAATGGCTGTTCGAGAGGGTTCTGGTTATGTAACGGTTGACAGTTGGGAAAACTTTGAAAGGCTTTGGGTATACAAAAGGATAAGATGTTTTTTGGATCCAACTCCATTTTCTTCGTCATCAAAATCCACATCAATATATGCAAATCTAACCCTTATGCTGTTGCGCAACCATTTTTGAGTCGGTAAAGAAATTTAAATCGCATTTAAATCGAGGTGGTGGGTAAAAAACAAAAATGGATTTATGATCTTTGCTTTACAGCTTGTAAAGCGTTTTTATTGGATTTACGGCCACCCTTGAAGCGGAGTTTTGGTCCCTGAGGCGGGGCTCAATTGGCCATAAGCTGCTCAAAGTACCGGGTCACAGTTGGTAATGACACCAGTTCCCGTCAGAGCTTTTCTTTTGGATTTTCCCTTGCTTTTTTCCAGTGGCCGGGGTGGGTTCTTTTCCTCGCTTTTTGTTGTGTCCCTGTCAAAGGTTACCTCATGCAATTGTGGTTCGGTTTTTCTTTTTTTTTTTTGTCGAACGCCGCCAGCAACCTTTTTTGCGAACAACCTGAAAACCACCCACCAAATGACCCAAGGCTGACCCAACCACCCACACTGGCTGCGCAAAGTGGTTTTAAATTCCATTAAATAAAGTTGTAAAGGTTGCCTTCGAGTACTTGAGAATTTTCACGCATATTTTGTTCGCACTTTTGTAAAATTTATTAATATTTTAGTGATTTTAAATGGAGTTTGTATGTTGGCCATCCTGATGGGGGACTTTTCCTCCTGCCTTTCTCTATTCTTCTCTGGGAACTTGGTTTCTGTGGTGGTTGATAGTAGGATTGAGTTTGTATTAAGTTGAGAGCTTGTAATTGAGTTGAAATTTCTTTTTATTTTTTACTTTTCGAGTTCTGGGTGTTAAGTTACATTGGATTAGATTCGTTATGATTGTGAGGTCTGGTTTTATGATAGTAAATTAATGATATTTTATGGATACTTGGAAAAATTATAAGCTTTCAAATTTTAGTATTATTTTACAAGTATTTAGAAGAAATAAATATTAAATTAAATAACCAAAATTATTCAAAAGTTTCGTCTAATATAAAAATACATAAAGAGAAATATATTTTTCACATTTAACCAACAATTTAACCCATTCCTCAACGTTTTCATTCCCCACTAAACAATTAATTCGAGCATAAAACTTACCTTTGTTGGCAGGACGACAATGTCGACCATTTGGTGCTGACTGCTCGTAAATGCTTGGCTCTTTGGGTGGCTCCACAGCCGTTGAGGAGGATGTGGTATTCGGGGGCAGGACCTCTCTGACTGGCGGCAATGGTAGTGAGGCTGCTGCCTTTGGAGGGGTAACATGAAGAAGCTTCGTGGCATGGCCATTGGCATTGCAAACGATGCTATGCCAATGATGGTTATGCTCCAGCTGCGATGGAACATCCTGGGGTTTCCCTGGCTCCTGCTCCTCCTCATGGTTGTGTTCCTGAAGGACTTCCTCCTCGTCACGCAACTGCTGCTGCTTGAGCTGGTGCTCCCGAATGAGGCGATCTCGTTCGTGAAAGTGCCGGACGAAGGAATGGTCGCCGGTGTGATTCTGGTGATTTTGATGATTCGGGTGGTTATGGTGGAGCTGGGGCTGGTGCTGGTGTTGGTGATGCAGTGGTTTCGGCGGGGTTAACGACTTGAACGTCTCTGTTTTGGGGGGATACCCGAGCAAGCCGGGCGGCAGACTATTAATTAATGTGCCCATTGTCCTTTGCTGGTAATGATGTTGTTGGAACATAATTTCGTGCAACGGTATTAGAAAGTCTGGCAGGGATTTCTGTCTCTGTTTGACAGATGCCAGCGTCTCCATGCCAAAATACGAGACTGGCAGACATGTCTGGCCATCGCCACATGCGGAAGTCATCTGTTGGCCAACATCCTTGTTGATTTCCCCGTTGCTGATTCTATTGTTGTTGTTGCTATTATAATTATGATATCCAATGCCGTCGGCGGGCCTTAGATACCAGGGATTTAATATTGTTTTGCCACGACAGCTTGTACCGAGCGCTATAAATCACAGGAAAATAATTCGCAGAGGAAAAAAAAGGGTTAAACAATTGCATTTTTATAGACTAACCGAAATGAAGTGAGAACTATCCCAAAAAATAGCTGATAAAATGGGCTAAAAAAAGGGTAAAAAAAGGGGTTTCGATATCATTATCAACACTTGCTGGCTTTTCACCCCTCTGATGGTAAACAGCCCTCTTTCACCACCTCCAACCCCTTTTTCCCGAAAGCATATTGCCAATGGAAACCGTTTATGTCACTATCAATTACTCATCATTATGGAACTTTGATACGCCTTTCTACCTTGTTACCCCCCTCTGTATATTCGGCACCCTTAGCCCATTTGGTTACGCTGCTTTTTTTAGTGGGGGTTGTACGCCATATTTCCAATCAGTTTTTTTTTTGTTCTACGGCGATCTTTTCATTTATGACTTTGATTGATTATGAAATCTGTACATAATTTTGATTTTATAGTTTTTAGATAAAGATAAAGGAGGGAGTCAAATTTGAACATTTGTTCAGCGCTGTGTGGGCGTTGTTACGTCATCATTCTGAGTGACACGCCCTTGGCTTAGACATGGGGTAACTCTATTAGCTGGCTTTTAGGACTACTAATGGAGGTAAAATCGAATCAAAGGGGATATATTTTTAAAATGTATTCTTTGTATAATTATAACTTATGTACATTGACAAGAACTTACTTAGATGTATCAGAAACTGACCCAAAATCTTGCAATCACTTTACTTTTTAAAACCAGAAATCTTATAAAAGAACTTTTTGATGATCCATAATTAAACACAAGCGCCATGTAAGCCTCGAAATACTTTACTCTTTACATTTTCCGACCCCGAAATTTATTTTCCGCGCCGACAATTGCTACTGTATGGCTTGACTTGATCACTTCATTGTGGATCATTTATATGGGCCGCAGTAGAACACTTCATGAATGAAACTCTGACCTATGGCTAATGATGCACAAAAATAGAAATAAAAAACATTAAATACGATTGCCATAGCTTGAAGTCCAACCGAGGTAACCACAAAATGTTCATTAGAGCGCCAAAAACCGTCTGAATAATGAGAGAAGTTCACGAATCACGAGTCCGAGATAATTGTGATTGGAGGCAGTAGTCAGATGGTATCAGAGTCGATGTTATGGGTATTAATTTGATTTATAGCCGGGGGTCAGGTAGAACAAAGCCGCCAAAGCCGCAGGAAAGTCATTTCCCCTTTTATTTTTCCTCTTTGGCATAGATTGAGGCGGATTCTTTAGCATAACAATAAGGGAAATATTAGTTAACGTTTAACCCTCTGTCACCCCTTCGGCTTGTGCTGGCCACGCGACAATCTTAAAGATGCAAAAAGGGTTGACATACACCGGAAATGGTGCAGAAACATCTGATGGGGACAGTGTTGGCAAGCCTAGCTGGTTTCGAGCTAAGGCTAGCTATTTGCCATATTTTTCCATCTTCCATTAAAAGCGAAGAAGTGTGCCGGGGATTTTGAAAATGAAATGAGGGCGAGCCAGGATAGAAAGCTGACTTTCTATAATTGGAAAGGCTTCCTGATTTCTATATACAAACGACTCCTCCTCCTGCTGCTCCTGTCAATATGCCTGAATGCTCGTGCCAGTCAAGGTCCTTTTCAAAATGCAATCTGTCGGAGGGAAAAAAGAAAACTCAACTCTCGCTGAAAGATGAAGATCCAAAGGTGAAAGTTTCAATCAAATGAAGGGACGTAAATGGAGTCGCTGCTTGAACAGTTGCCATCGGAAACTGCAGCTGCCTTTAGCCGCACAAGCCGCAATTGTTAAAAAACTGAACATTAAATCCTTTTTTCAGGCTCAATTTGCCACTGATGCCGTGCATCCTTTTCGGTGGCCCCCGTTCATCCTAAGCCTGGCAAGCTGTTTCAACTAAATCGAAGGCGCTCCAAAAGGATCCTCCTGCCATCACGGTTTCTTCTTTTTTGGCATTGTTACTTTGTGCGATTATATTTACCTGCAACATGGCGATTAACGCGCATCCTGCTCCGGTACCTTTTTCCCTCTTTATTGCTTTCCTATGCGCTTTGATTTCCCATTGCGGCAATATCCTTTATCCTTTGTGCCCCTTTGTTGCATGCACCGGCTGGCAAACACATTAGAAAAAGTGAAAAGCGGGGCCAAGGAAAAGGGGAAAAAGTGTCAGGAGCGCAATGCATTGGCAGTTGGCTTGTTCCCTTCGATCCTTTAAGAATTTTCAATTACGCAATCCCAAACGAGAAGGAAATTCGCTGAATATCTCTTATTTACCTCGCTCGATCGAAATGAGTATCTTTTTTATGATTTTTCTTTGGAAATATTTTTAATTGAGAAATTGGACCACACAGCAGGGAGTTGGTTGATTGTGAGAAGTCTTAAAGGTTATTAAAATATTCGACTGGCAGCTGATGGTGGTAAAAAGTGGTCATAAAAGAGGGAGATTTTTGATCGAATTTATATTGAGGTTGTAGGTAGTGGAGAAAGGTAATAAAATATTAAATAATAATAATGTTTTAAATATGTTTGCAAAGTAAAAACACACTTTTAATTTTATTTTCAAGCGAAATAAAATTGTTTTTACCAGTGTAACATTTATAATGAAACGTGCTAGTAAAATGTCACCCAAAAAAGCATAAATTGTTTTGCGAATATTAAATTGAAATATGGCACTATTTTAAAACCATAATTTGTCTGACTACGTTTTTTCAGCTATTAAAATTGGTATAATTCCAGGCACTATAACCAAGGTCCCCTCTCCACAAAATTTCTTTCGCCCTGCTGACTGATGTAACGAGTCTATTCCCAGTCGGAATACGTAATACATAAAACACGATAATAAAATATATATATAAAAAAGGAAAATAAAACCAACAGATGAGAGAGTTAAAAACCATTTAGAAATGTTTGCATTATAATTGCGGTGATTATTTCGGAACGGGGTCATTAACATGTGACATCCACAAACAAAATAAAAAACAGAATTAAAAACAAACAAATTTGGGAAAGAGTCGAAAGAGAAACACTTTGGGCTGAGATCGCCGGAGAGTGATAAAATAGTTAAATCAGCATTTAGGGCAGCGAGAGCTTTCTAGAGTGATAAGAGGCTCTTTTGGAGAATTGCGGTTAATTGAAGAATGCCAAGATTTGTGCGGAAGATTCAACTGCTCTAAGGTAGAACAATAAATTGTTCCACTAATGTGATTTTTGTGGTGAATCTGTGCTTGTATTACCTAAGCCACTGAAGCGTGTGTGTTTACCCCCATTTTCAACCCGAATGCCCCCCCTTTTTTCACTCGTTTTGGACAGATCATGATTGTATAAATTGCCAAAGCGCGTTGCCAAAAAAGTTTAGAACTTTTCTGTCTGTTGGCGGGCGCGCAACTTCATTTAATTATTGCTCTCATATCGTGCGTGTGTGTGTTTTTGGAGGGTTTGGACCATGGTCAACGCTCTGTGGGCCACGTTAATATCGCTTATTTTAATCGGCCGTGTTCTAGCTAACGATCTATTTTCCCTGCCACCTGCCACGGATCACCGCGAGGAGTTGCTTGAGGATTATGGCCGTTTTCTGCTATCCACCATGAACAGGACCATCGATCCATGCGAGAACTTTTACGAATTCAGCTGTGGTGGTTGGAAAAAAGCGGAATTGGTACCGGAACAGGCCAGGAATACCAGCTTTCTCCACGCCATTCAGCACAAGATTGATGAGCAGGTCCTGGCTTTTCCTGCAGAATGCTACCAAAAGAGAGCTGACTGATCTGGGTGTTAATGGAACCAAATCGGCGGAAGTTAAAGCCAAGCAGTTCTTTGCCAGCTGTGTGGAAGTGAAGGCCAACTTATCATTGGGCTATGAGTATTTCCAAGAACTCGATGAGGATCGTTTGAAGGATAGCAATGCCACTTACGATTGGATGTACATCAACTTTATGTCTAAATATGATATATATCCTCTGTTACCCTTAAAAGTACATTACAGTACATCGACTAGGAAGTTTGATTTACTTTTAACGCTGCCGAGTAAAGTTTTAGCCAGCATGAGTTCAGAGCAACTGAAAAATATGACCAATGAGTTTGGTTTAGATACAGAGAAGGCTACCAAATTTGTGGAAATCTTTACCAACCTCACACAGTTCGAAAGGAGTTTGATTTCCTTAGCCAAAGCAAGGAATGAAACGGAGCAGTTAAATTTTAAAGATTTCTTAGCGAAACACAAACACGATCGTTTAAATTGGACACGATACTTTGAACTGGCCTTCAATGGCAGTCAGGAATCCCACTGGCCAGTGCTCAACCAACTGGATAATATCAACGATTTGGTGTACTTTCTAGAACAAACCAATTTGGATACATTGAAAAGTTATATACAAATGAGGGAGCTGCTGAAGTTCTATGGTTTGTGGAAAACTCAAACTAAAGCCGGAGGAGTCCAAAGTGAATGTCGCTCTTTGTCGGAGACTTATTTCAACTACGCTCTCCTGCCTTGGTTTATTGGGAAGGTTTTCGATAAGGAAAGGCGTGCAGATATACTAAGTGTCGCCAAGGGATATAAAGGATACGTTTTATGATCTCTTGGACCATCACACTTGGCTAGATGACGAAACTCGATCGCAGGCCAAGACCAAACTGGCTTCCATGGATATTTTAGTAGGCTACACAGATGATCTGCAGCATCGCGAGGTGATTGATGGTGTCTATAATGATATCAATATGACCGGAAATTGGTTTGAGAACCTATGTATCCTGGAAAGAAGTAGAGCCAGGATACGCTTGCGTTCGGTGGACAAGGCATTGATTCCCCTTCTCATGCCAACGAGAACTGTGAATGCATATTATGCAGATTTCCTCAACCTGGCTTTTATCACCATTGGCATGGCCCAGTGGCCTTTCTATCATATGGATTTTCCTGATGTCTTGAAGTACGCCGGAGTGGGTAATATTATAGGACACGAGATGGCCCATGGCTTCGATTCATATTGCTATCAGTACAATTATGATGGAAAGAAGAGCAACTGGTGGTCATCAGCTTCGTTGAGGAACTTCAAGGAACGATATCGGTGTCTGGAGTCGCAGTATAATAAATTTATACTAATGGGTGTCCAAACGAATGGTACTCTCACCTCTGGCGATAATATAGCCGATAACGTTGGTACCCGAATGGCATATTATGCCTTCAAGCGGAAAACTGGCGACAAGGCTTGGTCGGAAAAACCTCTGAGGGGTGTCAATTTCACTAACAAACAACTGTTTTTCGTCAAGTTTGCCCAAACCTGGTGCAATGGCAAAGACAACGGCGATAAGCTCCGGAGACTGAAGACTGATGTCCATGCCTACGATGAGTTCCGGGTTCAGGGCACCTTGAGCAATATGCCCGAGTTTAGTGAGGCTTTTAACTGCAAACTGGGCACGGAAATGAATCCTCTAAAGAAGTGCGTGGTTTGGTGAAATAAAATTGATTTTGTGAAGAGAATAGAAGGTTGTTGGTTGTATTTGTTGGGTTAAAGAGGGGAAATACTTTTATAAACCAAAATAAGTAATGCTAAGCCAGCCCCAATGACGACTTCATTTACTCAGGCCAAGTTCTGAATACCCCTAAAACAATCAGCGATTTCTTGGTTCTCCTGCCGGCATAAAATCGATATTTCATGGACTAAACTAACGCCCCCCACTTGGAACAGCTGATGGCTATCGAATAGAACAAAAATACTAATTGATTTGATGCAGAACCTGCCGGAGGAACCTCCCACCGGGGCGAGATCTTGAACTGTGGGCGGGTCCTGGCAATATTTGTCTTTTGACTTTGCAACGATGACACCTTTCTCATTACGAATTAATGGCATTTTCGGCCGGCCAACAAAAGGTGCAACAAAAGACCGAGAAGAAAGTCACCGGGCACAAGAAAAGGTGCAGAAAGTGAGGCTTCAGTTGAAAAACCGTTGGCATGTTCTGTTTTACTATTTTTCCCAAAAAGAAAAACAGTTTCTACTATCATTAGTCGTCACTTGAGAGTCAGATACGGAGAACAAAACTAAGTGAGAGTCCGAAAGGGAAGCGAGAGAATGCAGCCTGCATACGAAATAAGGATATGTATTTGCTTAAGGATATTCTAGGGCTTATCTCGGACGCCCGAGCGGCGGCCTAACGGATTTTCATGCATTTGTTATGGATTTTCGGCGCCAGGTCTCTTATTAGCTGGCCAACTGGCAGGTAAATGATCCCGTTGCCTTTTGCATCCTCACAGCGGGAATTCTGACTCCTGGCAGGTCATAAAAATCCGGCTCATTGCATTGCACATAGATCATTAATTTAATGGCTTTTGTGCACGAGGAAATGCAAAGTGCAATCCTGTATATATAAGGTATATATATATAGTCTTTACCCACATCACACAACTGATCTTGGAGGTGGTCTCTTCGGGCAAATCAAATTGCAAAATCTCCTAGGCTCCTGGGAAATTCGAGACTCTTTATATCTTATAATTGCATTTGCCCAGCACAATGGACCAGTCAAATTAGCCTTCATTTGTAATCTTCTAGCACAGGTCCTCGGGTCTCCGCCCCCTGCCCTTCTCGACCACCTTGACTTTCCCCTTTTCGATCGCATTAATTCCATTTATGTAAACCATTTCGCAGAGGGCTTGTCGCTAGTAATTCGAAAGGCGTAGACGATGTAATAAAAAATCAACTTGCTGGGAAAGCTATCCTGTGGAGCAGAGGGGGTGTATTCCAGACTGGGTGGGTGCTGTTCGGTATTGGGGCTATAGCGTGAAATACGGCAAAACTAAAGGGTTGCTAGGTATCCGAAAGAAAATTTAATTCATTTTAAGTTTCACTTAAATAAATAAAAGAAGAACCATAATATCCAAATTGATTTATAATTTTATAATCTTAGGTTGACTTGGCAACCCTATTACACTGTGCTCTGTGCAAACAACTTGCCAAAACCATGTTTCCATAATTACATGCAGAATGCCTTTTATGCCACGGCAACCTGCTTCCGCCGCTTAGCCAATAATGCCTCATCCACCTCAGCATCAGACTCAACCTTCACCCATCACCCCTTTCCACTGTAATGCCCCAACTCGATGACCCACCATCCTCATCATCATCGTCTCCAACTGCCTCCACCATCGCAACAGAAATTGAACAAAAGGGGCGTCGTCGCTGGCCAAGTTAAAAGTCAAGCTTAGCCCGGCCAACAACAGAGCCAGGTAGGAACTACCAAAACAGTTGCACTTGCCCGGAATTTTCGGGAGGGTTTTTTGGGGGCAGGGATCGGCAGGAATCCATCGGTGCACTAGCTGCCAAGTCGGGTGTTCATGGTGAATTATGAAAATCGTTGCGAAATTAAGTTAAGAACTTTTTTTCCAGCTTAGCAGGAAGCAAAAAGGCAGCAGCAGTGGAAGCTGCCGATGGTGATGGTAGCGTGAGAAGAGCGCGAGAAGTTTGTATTTGGAATTAAAGATTCTCATATTTAAATTAAATATATTAAATTATTACAAAAAGTAGTATTTTAAAACTTTAAAATAAATTTAGCCTTTGACGGAAGAATGGAAGAAGATCTAAGATCAAATTCGATATGTTTATTAGAAAAGATTATTATGAAATTAAATTTGTATTTCGTGTGTGCTTAGAGTATGTGTCTATAAGTTAATAATGTCATAAATAATGATCGATAGGGATCGTTAGGATTGCTTAGTACAGAAGACTTCTTCACGCTGCCACCTTTAGATCCATGCAACCATTGATCCCTTGGCTTTATTAAATGGAGATGATCAATTTAAATATTTTGCAATTGTTGTTGCCGGTGGTGCGTGAGCGTGCTGACCCTCAGCTGTGGCGGTGCTGAGCCACTCAGCCACAAGAAGCCACTAGCAGATGTGGCAGTGGCAGGAGCAGGAGCAGGAGTAGGAGCAACATCATTGGAGCGGGGCAAATGCATGCGGATCTTGATGCAACCTGCTGCTCCTGCTGCTGCCGATGCTGCCGCCTCCTCTCGATTTGTATAAAAAATGTGCTTCATTTTATTTGGCCGCGACCGGCGTCCGCCTCCATGGGTAAACGCCCCAACTCTGAAGCTCCGAAAACTCCGAGTCCCCCAACTCTTTGACTCCAAAAAAACGCAGGCAAGCCGAAAATGCAGCCAAACAAATCGCATATGGATCGCATGGATCGCTGGGGTTTCTGACTCTGCCCCATGGCTTCTGCTGCCAACGATTATCTAAATTGCATACGAAATTATTTTAATTAAAAATCTAATTTTCTGAGCCGCCTTACACGCTCCTCTGCTTTTTGGATCAAAGTTACTCCTTCTCAAGGAAATTCTCGTTGTTTACCATATATTGATCTTAAAATGCTGGGAATTTTCGTTGCTGTTGACTTGTTTGTTCATTGAACCTTTAATTTGACGCGATTAAAATGATATTAGCGGTCCGCATCACATCTGTTGCAAGGGTTTTTCCTTCGGCAATTCCTGCAACCTTCTTTGTGGAAGGTGTGAAGATGTGACGGCGTCAGCTGGAGGTTCATCTTACCAAAACGTGACCATTTATTGATTAATGATGCATAATTTGGTGGGGAATATTTGTTGGGTCTTAGTTAATTGACGCCTTTCCGGTTTGGTTTTCTTTGAAAAGGAGATCGCCAAGGGTTGAAGGGGTCAAGAAAGTAAGTAAGAACTTCGTACAGGAATGGTTGTTGAGGAAGAAGAAAGTTGTGTGGTTACGAAACTTATTAACAGACCTTCGAAATCAGATAGTTTAGTACATAACAAAAAACAATATGCTTTGGAAACTGTCATTAAAGCTAACTAATATTTATATTAACCCATTTTGGTTTTCTTTTACCATTAAATATTGTTTTCAACCATTTCGAATTGTTCTCATCTTCAGTAGCTCGTAGAAAATCTCCGCTCAATGCAATTCAATCAACCACCAACCGATGCATAAAATTTAAATAAATGTTTGATTTGAATTTAATTGCAGCAGCAGTAGGCAGGGCAGCGGACAGCAGGCAGAACCTGTCTGAGATTCATCAGAGAACCTCAATTGAATATAAATCAAATGCAACCGACAGCCGCACATCAGCGTGGATCAAAGGGACGCGCTAATCACACGCTGGGCCAAATAGGATCTAATTTCCACACAAGAAAAACCCATTTTTTATATGAATATATATATATATATATATAACTCGTATAGGGTAGAGATTAACAAAAGATCATATGGAGATGCGTTTATAGAGAGATCAGGTGCAGTCGTTGAGCATTCAAATTTCGCGCATCTCGGGAAGATAAATGATAGAGCAGGTAAGACAGGTAGACAAGCCGGCAGGTAACCATTCAACCATTTCAATTTGAATTTCGACAATAATTAAGCGCAACAATGGATTTATTGAGTTTTCCCCATTCGAATTGCTTCTGCGGTTCTGCCTTTGCCACAGAGCCCACAATTAGTTGGGAAACCAAGACCCTATATGAGACTCTATACCATCATAGACCATCTCATCCGATCTCGTGGCAGTTGCAATTATCATAATTATTTTCATTCATGCGGCGTTGCATTGAGCATCTCCGTCTGGCAGTTCATCTCTTTGCTGGTGGAGATTGGCGAGATAAATCCCCAGACCCGATCTCAATGAAATCTTTGAGTTCTTAACGCCGTTTCCCTTTTGTTATCCAGGGTTTTGCTGGAGTTCTCACAGATCCCAGTACCAGTAGCATAAGTTGGTTTAGAGGATGCATCCGAATGTTTTGTTTTTCTTTGCATTTCCGGCACTTGCTGCATGAACTGCACTTATTTTGAATACCCTCCTGAGGGCAAGGGGGTTTATGTTTATGTTACTTCTTTAGATAGAGATCGAATTGAGAGGAATGAGATGAAATTCAGATTATATGCATGTAAGTTTATATAAAAGAAGAGAGCCCACTGTGATTATTATGATAATATGTGGATAAATATATAAAATATTTCCTAAAAATTTAAAATAATAACAGAATAAGAATCTCTGCCTTTGAATTGCATCTAGAAAGACCACTTCCCTTGATGTATCTCTTTTTTTATGTCTTTAGCTCATTTATGGCAAATTATTGTTGAAATCGTAATGGGAAGCTTGCCTCAGAGCTAACTGATGGATAGCCTCAAATGCTAACGATCTTCATCTTGGGCCTAGATGAATATCATGTTCACGAATATCTAACAGAAAATCTAATCAAAGAAACCAACTTCGGTGAGTTACATTTGCTTAAATCGACTTTAATTTCCGGTCGCGTGTTGGGCTCATTTTGTGATCTCCGCCCTTTTTGTTTTAGTTTTAAATTTTTGATAATTGCGCACTTAAGGAGGTTTTAGTTTTTATATATTTTTTGGGGTTTTGCATGTCATGAGAGCATTTCCGAGCTGGATTAGAGGAAATGGATTTACATATGAAGATGAATGGTAATGAGTCCTATTTAAATATGCCCAAATTGAGGTTTCGTTTGGGTTGCCTTTAAATACAATTGAGGTCACGAGAAGTTTTTCTTTTTGAGGTCCCATGAGTGAGATCATCAAACGGGTAAAATGGCAATTTCAATAATCGAAAGAAAACAAGATGTGTTGCAACCCCCTTTTTGGGTTGTGCCACAGAAGCAACAGGATGAGTGTGAGTGGCACCCTCTTTAACCCCTTGTGATACTCCTTGTCCTTGTACTTAGCCCTTAAGACGGATGAAGTGTTTGACAACCCTTTCAATCTTCATAAATGTTCGCACTCGTGGCACAGGGCGTCGTCTCTCTGTTGCAATATTAGCCAGGCTCCTGGCTTCGGGTCCCTTGTGTCGCATCCTTTTTTTTCTTTGCAACTCTCTATCAAGATGACGGCGACCCTTTTCTTGGCAATAAAAAAATGAAATCTGTTTCGTTGCATAAAAAATTGAAAATCCCATAAGCATGCGTTTGGCACGAGTTTTTCTTTGGCAGAAAAAAAGGGGTTTCCCCCATTTCTTGAGGCTTGCTCCTTGGGCTGAGGGCCATGAGAAATGGTCGTGCGCTTGTTAACACGTTGTAAATACCTCATTTTTCACTTAACGGGTTTTTAAATACACATATGCATTTGAGTGGCGCCATTTGGGGAAGGATAAGTGGGCGGAAAAAGGGTTGACTTTCATGGGGGGCTATGTTTTTAAGAGGAGTTTGCAAGGTGTATAGTTTACAGATGTTTTGGGAATAATAATATTTTCATTCCTTGTTAATAGTTTTTTCCATCTTTCATACATAGAATGAAAATATTTTTGATATTATAACCCATAAACTCCATCCCATTACCAGCCCCTACCTATTAGTCTTACACCTCTTTCCATTCCCATGAAAAGAAGACCAAACTCACCTGATGATGTTGCCGCTGACTGCTGTTGGTTCATGGGACTCCGCTCTGGTGGCGACTCCATGAATTCCTGCTTAACTTGTATCTGCGGCAGGCGCAGCAATCCCTCAAATGCCTCCTTGGTGGGTGGAACTGGTGGGCAGTTGTCTTTAGGGTTAAAGCCATTCAAATGGCCAACGTTAGCGGCATAATTAGCCGTTGATGCTGCCATGCCCGGCAGTGGTAGTTGCAGTTGCAGTTGATCGTCGACTAGAGTTGCTGAAACGCCTTGGCCAGTAATTTGAACATTAACACCTGCTGCCGATGTTGCTGTTGCAAGGCAATGAGTTGCTGCTGTCGGCGACGTCAGCAACATGGTTGCTGCTGTTGCTGTTGCTGCTGCTGCTGCTGCTGCTGTTGCGCTCAAGTGTTGATGATGGGAATTGTTGGCTAGTGTTGTGGCCAGCAGTAATGGCATAGTTGTTTCTGTTGCTGCTGCCTCTGCTGCTCTTGCTGCTGTTGCTTTGCAGTTCGTCAGCAGCAAATTGCGTCGCTTTGATTTATGGGTACCACAACTGCTCCTTGCTGCCTGTGGCGACTTGTTTGCCGCTCCGGTTGCTGTCTCAGATTATGATATTGACCCATGGACCGCTGGCGATATATATTATTCTGGCTCTTCTCCTCTGCTGCCTGCAAAATGGTTGATAATTAAAAATGTCTTCTTCGGCTGAAAGCTTAATTTGCTGTTAAGTGCATTTTAAAAAGCTGTTATTAAATATATTTATATACACATAGCTATAGATAGCGGAAGTAATTGATTTTCTAGATCATAAAACTGACCAGTTCACCTTCTCATTCACGTGAGTTTTCCACCTGACTTCAGGCCCTAGATCACGTTGCAGGTGGAAACAGTGAATTGGTTTGAAATCGAACTGATGTTTGCATATAACTTTATCACTGATAGATTACCTAGTTTAGTTTAATAACTGGCTCATGAGTAAGTCGCACTGTCTGCACTTTTTGTGATTAGCAAGTTTGTATATTGATAGGAAAGGTAATGAGTTGTAGAAAATAACTTCCTAGGGCAAAGTCCTAGTTACTACGCCACGAATCTTTATATTAAAATATTTTAAATCTCTTTTCAAGATATAAAAACAGAAAGATAAGCAAATTTTGAAGTGAAGAACTGGTAAAATCCCTATCATAATTGAAACACCTTGCATATTTGCTCTTTTCCAACTTTCTTTTATGACATTTACAAACATTTTCTTTAAAATTTCCCATGGTCTGGCCTGGCCAAATCAGCTCCCACAACTCCAAAAAGGTTATATAAAACTTTACAGCAGTAGACACCATAAAAGGCACTAAAACCTAAACTTTGTAATATTATGCAAACATAGGAAAAGGTAAAGAATATTTACCGAAATGTGAGTTGAAACGAAATTGTTGTAAATTGAAAACAAATTGAAGTCGAATGAGATAAGAGCTGGTTGGAAGTTGAACAAAAAGCAGAAAAAAAAATCACCGCAAATAGGCGATGAAATCAAAGGAAATAGAAATGGGAAATTAAACTACTATGACGACGATCAAATGCCCCGAACAACAAGTCAAATGCTAGATAAGATACGGTGCTGAAAAGTGCATCGAGTTTATGGAAATGGTTATTTACATACATAACCATATGTGTACTAGACATACAGGTGGCAAGATCGAGGAGGAGGAGAAGGAGGTGGGGCGTGCAACTAACATTAATGGCACTTGTAAACAAATCAATTGAGTTGTCAGTATCGACGGCAAATTGGCCAAAGGCAAAGTGCCACACGAAGATTGTTTATCAATTTTGCCAGTCGGTAAATTATGTTCTTTGCATGTCAGCAACCAATTGCCAAGAATATCGATATATATATATCTATATCGAACACATCAAAGTGAATGCCGACTAAATGCAGTCACTTCTTATGCCCCATTGCTACTTTCAATAATTCCCAATCGAGCCGGTAATTTCTTATTGGCCTTTCGCTATTTCTGTTTTAACTTTATCTTGTTTTAAAATTAAACACAATTGCTTATTCTACTCCAGTTCGGGATCGTATCGAAGATCGTATAATACCGAACATTGCGATTGTTTGTTTGTCTCTAATTTGGAATTTGTGTTTTCATAATTTCCCATTGGGTGTACACAGTTCGGTTGTAAAGATATCAGGCAACTAAGTTTGATGATGTGATTTGCTTGGCTTTCGGTTGGGAAATTGTTTGTCGTGATTATCGAATCATTGCCAGGAGTGGGGCAGTTAAAAGATCATAAAAAGTATATGTGGGGTATCGGAGATAGTGTTGTTAAGTCACATGAAGTTTTTGATTCAAAAATGTTTAGAAACATTAATAGAAAAATAATGTTAAAATTCAACTTTATACTCTGTTATGAAACATAAAATGTGTAATATATTTCCTTTATTAAAAGTTAGTTTCCTAACTGATAAAATATTCTTGGGATTACAGAAAGCCCGGCTTAGGTCTCCTTCAATGACAGATTTAGTTCGCCTGTCCAACAGTCGGCCATATCGGGACACTTGTTGGCCCTCGAAACACATATGGCCAATTAAGGACACAGAAATACGGGCAGGCACATGGGAAAAGCTCATTAAGAATCTGACAAGCCAAAGGAAACTAAGCTCCTCTCTCTCTCTCCTCTTTCATCTCAACTACATCAGCCACCTAGCTGATCCATAGATCCATCCATCGATTTCACCGAGTGTGGGCGTTACAAGACAAGCTCCTTGACACACTCAAACGATCTTAAAAAAAAGGGGCAAACTTACTTGGGATGATGGCGCACCTCCTTACTGGTTTTCCCTTTACTCTTTTTAGTTTATTGTTTTTTTTTTTGCTGTCACGAATTATAATTTAATTGTTTATTTTGCCACACTTTTATAAATTGTAATTGCCAACGAGAACCGCGACAGCTTCACGCCCTTTCTGGATTTTCTTGATGGGCGGCGAAGTGAGGTGAGGAAAGGTGATCTCTGCCTTTTGGGACAATTCTCCGAGACACGCTTTTTGATTGACTTCCGACAAACGACTGACTTAAAAAAACGCGCAAGGAGATATGGGCAAAAAGTAAAAAAATGTAAGAACGGCAGAAAAAATAAACAGGGTAAAGAAAAGAGAAAGAGCAAAAAGAAGCCAAGTTCGCGACGACGACTTCCGACGACGTCCGACGTATCCACAAAATGTCAAGCGAGTACAAAAAATACTTCTTTTTTTTATAGAAGATGTTAAAGAGAGAGAGTGAGTGTATTGGTCTGCCTGCCATTGTGTGTGTGTGGGGGCTATAAAACAGGTGGAAGGGGGTGGTGCGTGGGTGCTTTGGGGCGTTTGACTTCGTTTTTCTTTCTTCCTTCTCTCACTGCTTATTTTTTTTTTATTTGCAGGAGGTTTTAAAATCAAAAGCGTGTATTGTGTGGGTGGAATATGGTCGAGTGTATGTGTGTGTGTGCCTTTTCTATATGTATGTGTGCATATATGGGTGGGTGGCTCTTATCGGATTCGAAATTATGTATGTATTGACTGCCGTTGCTTCTGTACGCTTGGGGGAGAAATAATATAGGGGCTCCTAAGTTGATTTGTAGTTTAGAGCGGCATGAAAATGTACTTTTTTGAATTGAAGGTAGAAAGGTAAAGAAGAAGGAGGTAAGAAGAAAGTTTCTAAAATATAAGCCTCCACTTTTATAAGTTCTAAGAAATATAAAACTATCGGCTTGTAAGTTTATATTCACATCAATGATTAACCTTTTAAAGCATTTAAATTCATATTTTTGAATTTATTATTTACTGTAATTAAACTAATAATATTTTCGTTAAAAAAGGGAGGAAAACTGAAATTTTTATTTAGTTTTTTCCTCTAAAATATTTTTAGTTTTTTTTGTTCTTCTTTGCAGACGAAATACGACTTTTTCCTTTTTCTTGCCTTCCAAAAAACATCTTCCGACGGCAATGCACTTGTCAGAAATCACAGCACCCAACTCGCGTTACGCATACGCCCCGTGCAGCAAGAGGAAAAATCAGAAAAATAAAAAAAATGGAAATTGCAATGATGGCAGAACCGAGTATTATTCGCTGCTCTGTCAAAATGCGAATGTCAAGGCAGGAAAAAATAATCGAAAGAGAAGCAAATGCAGCGGGATAACCAACAGAAACGGATGAAGCGGCTACAAAACGGCGGCAAAAGGCAAAAAGCGATAAACGCATAAATTAAAATAATTACAAGAGGCTTCCTCAGATTGTTTTTCTTGTTGTTGCTGTCACGCACACACACTCACACGCACAGCTAGCTGGGGCCAAGGAAAAAAAAACAAGAAAAGTCGCGAGGACGACGACAACCGACAAACGGCCAACGGAGTGGCAACTGAAAAACTGCAATTGAATGCAACTTGACCAGGCCAAAGCAGCTAGAAGAAGAGCAGTACTAGCTGTATAAATCGAAGAAGAAGCAGATAGAAGCAGCAACTATAGTAACTATACACTTGGAGAAAATATAGAAGCTTGTATTGCCACTTTCGGAAGATTTCTGAAAGCTTTCTTAATAAGTTTTGAAAGTCTTCCAATAAAAAATTAAAGAATATAAAAAAAAGCATAGTAAAATTTAGGAAAAATAGAGTTTATTCCTTATAAAAAGTAAACATTTCCCAATAACATATTTTTTGAGTGTTGAATCATCGGAGTTTTCTCGGCAACTTGGGATCCACATTGTTGCAACAACGTAGTTGCTGTTGTTGCTGCTGCTGCTGTTGATTTTATTCAAAATGGTTTGTTTATGCCTGAACAGAGAGAGAAAGAGAGAGGGAGAGAGAGGAGGAAGAAGTAGAAAATCTTGGGGAAATATCCAACAAGCCCGCTCTCTCCCACACATCCGCACACACTCAAAGTTGGCAGCCAACAGCCAATCGTCATGGAGCTTTGGCGCTCTCTTGCGGCGCATGCTCGCTCTTTTCCATGTAGCTCTCTCTTTCGTAAATTTGTTTGCCTGTGTGCGAATTCGCCGCGGCGTACAGATGCTGTGGGGGAATGAAAAAAGAGAGCGAGAGGGCTTTTACCTTTTGACTGCTAATTTCCGTTCATTAAAGTTGGCAGCGACTCGACTTGCTCACTATTTCTATATATGTAAGTGCCACACCCCCCCTTAGAATTCCGCCGCCCCCTTCTGTAGTGAGTCCTTAAAGTTATTTCGCCTTGGCCAGAACTTTAATTTCATTGATTAGCGCCAAGGAAATCCCTCCTTCGCCCTTTTCTTTTTATTTTTTTTTTTTTGGTTTGTCACTTCTATTTACTTGTCTGTCCGTCTGCTTGTGTTTTGGTTTCATCTCCCTTTTGCCTTTTGCTTCCTCTTCTCCACTAGTTTTCCTGTTTTGTATTTTGTGTTTTGTAAGCATTTAAGATGTCGCTATTTCGAGATGGTTAAATCCAACTAATCGATGGTTTCGCTCTGAAAATGGTATAGTTTTGTGGGGGTAGGTTCTGGAAAGTGTGGTCTGCGGTATTTGTGGGGTAACTATTTTAGTAATCTTAAGATAATGGGAACTAAAAGTAGTTAAAAGGAAATAAAACAGTTGGGTGAAAGGTTTTTAATCATTATTTAATATATGGTAATGGGGAATATTTAAGTTAATGCAACTCCTTTTCTATATTTTCCAATTACCAAAACATGAACCATTGATAGACAAAACCAGAAAAGTTTATTTAGTTTATTTTAGTTTATTTTAGTTTCATTATATTCAGATTTACCTATGTATACCGTTTATACTATGTAAAGACCTCTCACCTTCCCCTAAAACTCTGCCTTTACATTTTCCATTTCGTATTCCACATTCCGTATACGCCCCATAAAACTTGAAAATGTCACCCAACCCCAACTGCCGGAAACTTCAACCTTTCAGCCACCCTGGACTCATTTTTCATATTGAAGGGCGAGCACCTAAGGACCAACCAACAAAGCTAAGCTGACGGCTCCCTAAGTTATGGTTCCTGCCACATCATCCACTCTGCCTCACATTCAGTGGAAACTTTTTAGAATTTTGCACTTTTCCTTTTTTTCTTTTGGTTCTCATATGTTTTTTTGTATTCGTATTTGTGCTCATACATATCGCAGAAACATTTCCTGTCTCTTTTTATTTACATTACCCACCGAGGACGAGGCGACATAAAAGTTGAAAGTTTCCCATAATGTTTATGGGTATATAAGTGTTTGTGGGTGGAAAATGTATATAAATATATATACATAGTACATAGAGGGAAACAAAGAGGAGAAATATTTTTTTCCTAAGGCTGTATTTCAACGGTATTCTTTTCTTATTCTCCGTTTCGCATTTGTGACTTTTCATTTTTCATATGCTGACTGCCTCACACACACTAACACAGTTGCACACACACACATATACACTCTCACAAAAAAGTCCTTTTCTCTTTCTTTCATTTTCCATCTCCCTTGGCTTTTCTTCGTTGCCCAAGTAAATGGCTTTTGCATTGTAAAATGTTGCATACATTTTCCTCTACTTTGCCTTCGAAATGTACATATGTACATATATGTATATGTATATCTATGTATTACTGCCATTTACCGTTATACAAAGAGCAAGCAGGACAAAAGAAGCACACACATAAGGTTCGACCTCTCTCTCGCTTTCGCTCGCTCCAAAAGACGTGCTTCTGGTATATTTTAAAATTTATGAAAAATAATATTTTTCCATCTCTGCACACTCGCACACACACTCACACATACTTATATATGGGCGCCCTGGAGGAGTCCTGGGCCGTAGGGCGCACAATCAGAATACAATGGCTGCCTAGGGCTTCTAAAGGGGATGAGGATGCTATATACATGGGTGTGTGTGAAGGGGCGGGAAGGCGGCAAGGGCATGGCAATATGGCACAGTTGGCTTCGCTTGCATTTACGTACAGAGTTGCAAGATAGAGGTGCTTAAGACAGGGTTGCCAACATGATTGAGAGCTAAGAATTTTGGGGACAAAGGCGTAAAGAAGTAACATTTAATATTGGAATTCGTTGTCATCAAAATTGTTATTGGATACCAAAGTCTTTAAAAAGAGTTTTCATATATACAAATATTTATTAAAGATTCTTATTTTCTTTACATCTGATCTTTTTTTTATTCATTTTAAAATTTTAAATATTAATAATTTTGTAAATTCAGTAAATTCTGTATTTTAACAATGGTCCAAAATTTAAATAAAATTTTTCTTATAAATATTTGCTGTTGACAACCCTGGCCACTCAAGTCAAAAGCATTTCCATTATGATAATGTAAGTGCACAATTTTCCCAACTTGAATGCGCACACAGATGCACTCAGTCTGTCCCTTTCATCCGCTGGCTTTGCCTTTCTCTCTCTCTATCGCACGCGCTCTCATAGTTTGCAGGACTCGTTCATTGCGCTTGGAAAATTTTCATATCCTGGCTGGTGCACATGAGAGCATGGAACATGAAAAACTGCACAAATGTGCAGAAAATGTTGCAAAACTACATGACCTGAGGGGGTGCTAAAACTGAGGGAATGGCATGGCACAGCTCCCCTCTACCGAAAAAGAGGTCCTGGTAGCAGGACAACGAAGCTCTTGCACATAAAATACGATAACTGTGGAGCAAAGTGCTACATATGAAAGGTATTTCTTGGGAGTTTCCCCCTTTTGAGTCACTCTACATATACACAATCTATCGGTTATGCCTGTGTGCAGGTTTTTAGAATATAAAAGGCGGTCCTGAAGTACCGAAGTAGGTGGTCGTATATAATTATGGTGGCCACCCCCAGTTTTACACCTTGGAGAAGCTCTCCTCCTTCAGAAAGGAACACGAACTATAAAATATGAAGGCATCTTATATAAGCCAAATATTTCCACTCTCTCGCTGCCTCTCTCTTCTTCTATGTTTTTACCTCACTGAAACTTTGGCATTTATGCCATAAAATTAAGTATGAAATTGAAAAATCGCTCGCACACACACACACAAGTACAGCGCCCCTCTCAACATATTGTGAAATTAATTTTTAAATATTTAT